ATCTATAACATATACAATGGAAATTGTTTGTTCTCGTTGCATTTGCTATACTCTTTCTAGAGGGTGCTATGAGTTCGATCAGTCGCGCTATGATGAGCTATGGCTTTGATACAATTCGGATGACTATATCGGAACGAGGTATCTGAAATATCTTGTTGCTTTAGCTGTTTTCTCTACTCCCGAGCACTGCCAAAATGCGGCTGACATTGCCTGCCTGCTGGGCGGTGACCGAGGCGAGGCAGTGACGACCGACGGCGGTGCTGGTGGGAAATAAATAAAATTTTAAACAAATTTTCGCTGTTTTCTGTCTTGGCATACATATGCGAAGCGAAGCTCTACGATTATCGTTGCTATCGTTTCTGTTGCTTTTGTGGCTGCAACAAATGAGCTTGTCAAGTTAAATGGCACGCACCAAATGCTGTCAGCGAGGTTGCACACACTCACACATACACACACATACACATACACATACATATGTATGCATGCATGTGTGTGTATGCTTGGCATTGCCGCCATTTTGTCTGGCTGCACTGAGTAAATTGTTGCAATTGCTGACTGTAAATAAGCGAGCACTGCCACAACACGGCGTATTAGTAATCTAGTTTATTTTTTCTGACTCTCTCTCTCTCTCTGTCGTGTCGCTGTGTGGGGCAAGGCAGCTCCAAGGCAAGCTGCAAGCGGAGACGGTTGGTTTTGGGGCATGCCATCCATGGGGACTCTCATGTCAATTGAAGTTTGCTACCCAAATTTCACAAATATTTATACTCAAGTTTGAGTACAGCTGAGGAAAAGTTTACTTGTGAAGTTTCCCATAAAGAGATTACTTTCTGGATTGTCATCCGGATGTCCTAAGATTTCAGCAGAGTTTCCGAATGCTGCCGAATTGCTACCTTCCTTAAAAAAATAATAAAAATATCTCCTCAGAAGAGTGTCTCTCATTTGGAATTGTTTTTTAGCTAAAAGCCCTAGGATTGGTGAGCCACCAGGCAACCGATTCGATGCCAAGTGATTTCTGCATCATTAGCCATTAGCTCCCCTCCTATAAGTCCCCCTACTCCAATCATGGCATAGCCCCCGCCACCTAGTCTGGCGCATCCAGCAGATACAAGATACAATATGTGTGTGTGTGTGTGTGTGTGGCAAAGACAGGGGGACTGGGACTCTATTTTTAATATCTTATCAGAGGAATTTTTATTGGCTTTGTATTGTTTTGTAAATATTAATTAGTTTCTTTGATTGTATGCAAGAAAAACAACAGGGAAATCGTTCGTTCATTCGTGTATCTGTGTGTGTGTGTGTGTGTGTGTATATCTGTGTGTTTTGCGTGTCATGGCGAAATTATCATCGAATACGGGCCACTACGCGAGTAAGTATGATATGTGACGCAGAACTTCCCTCTGTCTGGCGGTGGCTGGTGAAATTGCAATCGACGGACTCTGCTGCTGGCGCTGCCCTGCCTCCAACCTGCGATGACGCATGCCCCTTCTATGTATCGTGTGTCTGTGTGTGTGTGTGTGTGTGTGTGTGTGTGTGGGCATAGACATATGGCGACAAAGAAGCTGACGTCATGAGCCATCCATCCATCCCATGACTTGGAGGGGGGCGGCAAATGGAGGCACACGCAGGAACTACCCCCGAAATGCGTGTCAAGACTTTGGACCCACCGAAGTGGGCACTTGGCCCACTTGCCGCTCCCCCCCCTCCCCACCGCCGCCTGCCCTTTCCACATTGCACAGCTGCAACATCCACAGTAGTAGCAGCAGTCCCAGTCCCACAGCAGCCTCAAAGCGTCCCACGCAGGCAATTAAGAGCGCGACTTGGCTATTGGGTTACACTTAAACTTCACTTCCATTCCGTTTGGCTGCGTCTCGTTTCGTTTTGCAGTCAGCATTTAAAATTATTTATTAGAAGCAACAGTCGGACAGGCCGTGTCAAAGCGTGCGGTGGTGAAGGGGAAGGGAGGGCGGGCTGTGGACCAGGCCAAAACGGAGAGCGTATCAAATGTTTTTTTTGTTTTTTTTTTTTGTTTTTTCTCTTCTGTTTTTTGTTTTGGGTTTTGCCAAAACGAAACGAGCCAAGCCGGCCCCAGTCCCTGGACTCCGGTTCGGGCCAGGTTCAGAGCAGCAGCGAACACGTTAAGAGCGGGATATGGGATCTCTATAGGAGGCGGGAAGGGGGGATAGAGAAGACTGCTCTATCGTCTGGCGCTTGGCGACAGCAATTTACCTTGGCGAACGCGTAGAACAGCAGCAGCCATCCCTAAAGAGCCAGAGGAGGAAAAATAGCCGCCAGCGGAGAGTGGAGAGCGGAGAGACAGGGGAACGGGGTTCCAGACCTAGTCTCTCTATAAATAAGCCAAAAACTCAGAGCTCCAACAAGCTGAACCATAAATCATAAGCAGACGCACGAGTGTCGAGTTATTATGCGATCATATTTTAATTGCCGGATTATTATTATGCAGGCAGTGCCCCAGCAGTCTCCCCCTGCCCCCTCCATAGCCCCACTATTCGAGGCATGCCACAGCACAGTGGACTGGACAACAAGCAAAACAACAAAAACAGCAGCATAATCAAGCGAGCAACTGTCCGGCAAACAAACAAAACACCTGCAGAGTCTCCAGTCCCCAGACCCCGTTCGGGATCGCATGTGGTGCTGTGGTGCCGAGTGGAGCAGACCTGAAGACCCGCTGAAGATTGTGGATCGCAGATCGCAGACCGCCTGGCTCTGCCTTGGACAGGTGCCTGAACGCCTGACAACGGAGAGGACGGGCTTCAGGGAGGAAGAGAGCGCTCAATCATGAAGGAAGGTAGCCCGAATATGGAATGCTCTGAATGTAGGCGTCTCATATCCCATTTCCAAGCGAATGTTCTATCCATCCTCCCTTGACGAGTGTCCTGGCTAATCCTCAGTGCTGCACAAACAAAATATCATCCACTGCAAGCAGCTTTTACCAAGGGTATCCACACATACATAGGAGTGCAAGTGCGAGTGCGAGTGCGATTGCGAGTACGAGTATAGTTTTTTGAAAACCAAATTCACATGCAGTTTGTGGTTGCAGTTGTAGTCGTTGCTGTTGCTGTTGCCGTTGCCGTTGCAGATGGTGGGCAGAAGGGGCAAACGAGTTGGCCCCGCCACTCCACTCTCCTGTGAGCGTGTGTGTGCTGTGTGCTGTGTGTTGTGTTGGCCGTTTGTCAGTTGGCTGAAACTGGTATGGTTGCATTTTTATTATAAAGCGAACAGAAACACCAGCAACAGCAACAGCAACAACAACAAAAAGGCGACACCTAGTAGTACCAGAGAGTCTGTTCTGTCCGATTGTCTACGGGGAATGGTGGGAGGGTGCAGGGTGCAGTCTGGAGAGTGCCACTGCATCTGGGGAATGGCACTGGAACTGGCACTGGCACAGGCACAGGCGCTGGCACTACTCGTATGGGAATGAGGACTGTCATCCAGGCCTAGTGTCGCCTGCAGTCGCACTGCTGCTCAGATGTCTGTTCCACGGACAGTCTGTTCATGGACATCCACCGCAATGTGTACATTCATATTAACCCATGTATCTGCTGCTAAGCCCCGACTATCCTCTCATCGCCCCTGCTACCCAGCAATACGCAGTTATTACCAACATTTCTTACGTTTTATTGCTTCTTCTGTTTGCTTTTCGGTTTGTGTTCTGCTGTTTTGTCTTGGCATTGCCCCTCGGGTCGTAATTTGTATTTGTGTCCTGCCATTCAGCTGCAGCCTCAGCTCAGCTCAGCCCAGTCTTCGGTCTGCGGTCTGCGGTCTTCGGTCTTCCCTCCTAATGAGCCAACTCATTGTGTGCCCTGCTCTCCGTTCGAGGATAATACTCGTACTTTTTTATGGTTATGTCAATGTAATACAGGAAATTGCCGGCGATTAGGTTAGTGACAATCCCAGTTGCAATTGCATCTTTCAGTGTCCGTGGCAGTGGCAGTTGCAGCTGTAATTTATCAGCCAGCTCCTACTGCTATGCTATGGGACAGGGGGGCAGGGAGAGGCAACGGAAGAGGTGGATTTGACACATCGTTGCTAATTGGATAAACAATGCGTCTCCCGAGTGATTCATGCCCCAGTCAAAGAGCGTATCATTTGATACTGCAGCCAGAGCTCCATCTGCATAGAGCCTGTGATTCCCTGGATCGTCTGCCTCCCGGTAATCTCTCAATTAGTGAAGTTAGCCAAATTAGATTACTCTTTCAAGCGGACCAAATGAATCATACAGATTTCGTAGAAAGTCTCCTGATTCATTTCAAACGAGCAAACCAGCACTTTCGAAGAGTAAATTTCCGTCTGGCAAAATTCTATGCAAATGTTCTTTATTAATTACTTTCGAGGCACACACACACACACACAGACACACAGCCATACATACAGACATACATATATGTATATGCATATAGTAGATACGGATACGGATCAGATCGGAGGCAGACAAACATATGTTGGCATATTAGTAATTTGAGCTGCTTCTGATTCTGATTCGCAAGACATTCCAGCGCTGATTTGTCGACTATAAATTCCATATATGTGCGAGTACATACAGCATGTAGGGGCATGTCCAAGTGGGTCTAGTCTTTATGACTTTGAGCAAGTGGCAAAGTGGCAAAACGGCAGAGGGGCACCGAGCAGGCGAGCCGGAGAGCCGGAGAGCCAGAGAGCGGTACCCGAATGTGATAATAGAATCCAAACAATTAAACAATTTTCGCAAAATGTTGAAACAACAAAAGGCAGATAGCACGGACACACAAACCGACAGACAGACAGATACGGCGATGGGGATGGGGATGGGGACCCGAAGTGAAATGAAATGAAATGAAATGTTATATGTTTCTCATTATAATAAAACAAAATCGCACGCTCTCAGTCAGCGAGAGAAGCCCCCGCTCCCATCTGATCCCCAACAAAGAGAGCAGCCAAAGGGGGTTGGGGGGTGTTGGGGTAAAGATTAATTGCAAAAAGAAAAGTAAAGACGCAAAGTTTACCCGTAATTACACTTCCAGATCGGGGGCGCTTCCAGACCCAGACGGGGCGGCGGGTGGGGCCAGGAATCGGCGGCAGTGCTCGTAACAACAGAATCGGAAATTAATTATGCTTGACATGTTGTTGCCTTCTCTCGCCTGTGGATCACTTCTGGGTTGGGGTTGGGGCTCGGGCTCGGGCTGGGGTGGTGGGTTGGGGGGTGTTGGCGGCGGTGCAGGGCAGGTGTTGTAGCCTAGCAGTTGTTGCTTCTACTGCTGGGATTGTTGTAATTGTTGCTACTGTTGCTCGTACTCGTAGTTATTGTGGCTGTTGCTTTTGTTGTTGCTGGTGTCGATATGAATCGCATTTTCAATTGCCTTCTGTTTGTGTGACTCTTCTCTTTGGCACAAGAGGGGACACGAACACGGAGACGGAGACGGACACGCACTCCGCTCAGAACTCCACCACAAGAGAAGAATTCTCCCAGAGACGCATAATTTATTGGAACCGGCGCACGCCTTTCATTTCAATTTCAATTTCGATTTCGATTTCCACGGAATATTTCGTACTTTTTTCACACACCTTTTTTGCCTTCCCTCCTCATAGAGGACTTCTGCCTCCGCCTTCTAGGCCGCTCCACAGATTACGCATACGACGCGTTTTCTCTGCTTCTGCTTGTGCTTGTGCCTTTGCCTTTGCCTGCGCCTCTGTCTCTGTCTCTGCCGCCTGTCAAAGGTTCAATTTGTGTGCCGCGAGTGCAATTTGCATTCAGAATTGAGATTGAGAATTGGGAATCGCGGGGAGAACAGAATGAAATTGCGCGGCAATTTGCTTTTGTCGCCGTGCACAATGGAAATGCCTCGATTTGAGCTTCTTTGTGGATCGGCGACTCTCCTCAGATCATAAACAAAACTCGGCAAAAGTTGGGAAATCAGCAGGGAAACACGCAGAAATCACAGCTTAAAAGCAGTTCCGTTGATAACGAATTTCGCCGTTGCCCTTTTGTTGTTAAATTTGATTGTTGGATTTACGTTTACGTTTTTTTGGCGAAATCTGATTGTGGGAATTACGCTTTTTGGTGAAACGTACACGGCGATGGATGGATGGTTGGATGGTTGGATGGATGGACAATCGCACGACAATCAGCGGAGCGATCAGCAGTTGACACTCGAACGCGCGCGCAATTTTCACCCGTGCAAAGACTGAACAGTGTTTTTCCGAGCCAAAGCAGCGGGATTTTGTGTTGCGTTCCGTTCGCCGGTTCTCGTCGAACTGAACGAACTGGCCGATGCGGCCCGAGCCTGAACCGAGCACTTGACGTCTGGCGTCGCAACAAGTCTGCGGCAGCGAAGCGAGCAGCGCCCCATCGGCTCTCTCACTCGTAGCACTCCTCAGAGTGGCCGAAGCTAGGGCAGCGCTGTTGCAGCGCTGTAGCAGCGCTGTAGCAGCAGATGGGGGCTTCCTTAGTTTTTGGGGGCTCGAACTTGGCCCATGCGACCCCAGGCTAATACCACGAACAGCCTCTTCACTCCGCCCAGCAGTAATTAGCGGCGAATGTAGTGCGTTCGACGAGTATGGTATGCCCCGATAGATACCCGTAGATATTGGGGCCAGATAGCGAGAGCGAGCTGGCAATTGCCAAACATCAAAGTCGGACGGGGTGGAAATTGAATTTCAATCCTCACTCGCATTTCATTCCATTCCTTTGCTCGCGGCAATGAACACCTTGTTGGTGGCAAAGTGTTAACAACGGGAACATGACTCTGCGCCACCCTGCACACCTTGGCGAAGACACATGGCCGGGACTCAATTCAGTACCGAATACCTTTCAATTCCCAGAAATGCTGCCAATTATTGTACCCACCCGTCGAATTTGTCAGCTGGCATTCCGTGATGTCTGCCCGACCACGGGTTTCTCTTCATCCCTTTGTCATGGGAACGGAATCAGACAGGCGGACGGGCAGGGTCTTTCCCCTGCTCCATATAAGACTCTGTGATTGATAAGAGCAGAACTTTGAGTGATCAATACGTACGTAGTATCGATTAGATTGGTGCTCTGGTTCCGGTGTTGGTGAACTGCCATGAATGAAATTGAAATTGAAAGTTCAAGTGTGGGCGAACGGAGATGACAAGAGATCCGATTGGCAAAATGTACGCACTGATTGGAAGATCAACTATGGAAGAGTGGAATGCGAGGTATCGCACTTAATGACTTATGGGAGGTACTCCCCCGCAGTGTGAGTTCCCACAATTAGCAGCTCCATTTATTATATTAAATGCTGCTCCGTCGCAGCGAGCGGCAGCACTTAGAGGTGCACTCCGCCGCTCCGTGGCATTTGCTTTGAGTGGAGTGCGATAATGGCACTCTAAGCTCTTAAGATACAGATACAAATACGAAGCGAGGGGCCCTGGGATAATTCACACTTAACCCGCGGCCAAATCAAATGGCCAGGCATTTGACATTTATGCCGTGGCTCACAGATGCTGGAAAATCTGCTGCCAGTTTGGAAAATGCCATGCCGGAGTTGCAGCTGAGGTGGAGATGATTTATGCACTCATTGTATGTGTGGCTGGGTGCATACTTGTACTCGTACTCGCACTCGATGGAAAATTGCAGTTATCACGAACGATACTCGGCCTGGCTTTTGGCTGATGCTTTTGGCTGATGCTTAGGTTGAGGCTGAGACTCTACGGCTCGGTTTCCCAGGCCATAGCCATACATTTTGTCACAAGAGGTTGCCTAGTCATTATTTATGAGGCAAGCCAGTCGAAGAGATGAGAGGGGGGAGCAGAGCAGAGCTCCACTGCACCGAACCACAACCGAAGGCGACGTCAACGATCGACGGACGACGAACGACGAACGACGGAGTGGAGCAGCCAGGTGGGAACCGTGACGCAGTATGTGATTTACTTGAAAATTAAATAATTGCGTTTCATTAAATGCTATTTGCATAGGCCCCCTCCCCCACTCCCGTACCTCTTTAACGTGCAAAGCAATTTGGCATAAACGTCATCGGGTCGAGTGGTAGGTGGGTGGGTGGTAGTAGTAATGTGGCAGCAACCCGAGGAGGCTCTGCCAGCCCCATAATTTTCCACGCCACTTGAGCGTAATTAAGCGTTGGGCTCCTAAGCGCTCGGCAAATAAGGCAAACCCGTCTACAGCACAGTCACAGTCGCAGTCTCAGGTATCTCCACACGAGTACGAGTACGAGTAAGAGTATATATAGAACAGTTTCCGCAGCGCATCGATGCTATTTTGATATGGGCAAATATTTGCAATTAGCCATTATTTGCATTCGGGCCATTCTTGACTCGATTTCGGTTTCAGCCGCGTCTATTGGCTAAGCGATTTGTGGGTCTATTTTTGGCCAGCAGTCAGGTGTGTATAATCCCAGGCCAAATATCGGAATCGGCCCAGCCAGACCCCGATCCGATAGTGCCGCGACCAGCCAGAGTGTCAACACGGAGGTCTGGCCCCTGGGTCTGGCTCCTGGGGCTCTGGGCATTTTCCAGAAGGTTACCACGCGCGCGGCATTGGCAAATGGCAATGGAGCGCACAAACAAGCTGCTCGAATTTCCCTAATGGCCAGAGTTCATTTGCCCCAAACAGAATGCCGCCTGCTGCAAAACAGTGGCAGATATTGATACCCGAAGCAGCACTCGAGGCTTGGAGGATTGGAGGATTGAAGGAGGAGGAACTGGAGCTGGAACAACAACTGATGTCTGCTGTCGGAGTCAGAGGCAGAGTCAGACAAAGATCAAGTGCTGCCACTGGCTGTTTACACAGGCGGCACGGCTCTCACACTGTAATTATGTGGTGGATCCATAGACCAGCCCCATTGCCATTCCATCTCCAGCCACATCAACAACATATTGTCAACTTGGCTAATTGAAAGGCCAAGCCACATGTCCACATAACAATAAGGTGGGGCGGTGGATGGTGGACGGTGGGCGTGGTTGTGGCCGGGTCAGTGCATTGCCAATTTGACAGAGCATTGTAGACGGTGGGGAGGAGGAGGAGAAGGAGGCAGAGGCAGGGAAATGGAGTATTATTTACCGTTGCCCCTGTCAACGCCTGACAAGGCGTATTCGCCATTTGTTGGCCCCCGAGCCGCAGTTTAATGAAGGCTGGCTGGCCAGTGGCTCTAAAACTGTGTGATGTGTACAGTTTTAGATGGACTGTGCTGGTGGTATTTCCTTTTGGATTTTCGGTTGCATTTCGGAACACTCATTCAATTCGAGATAAAACTCAACTTGATCTCAATTGAAAACCTAATTAAAACGCATCGGATTACACGCGACCCCCTCAGAGCGGGACTGTGGAGAGGATTTGGGTGTGGAAGAGCGGGTTTTTGGGGGCCATGCAATTAAATCGAACAAGTCGCCGGCGTGATGCGTCGCCGCTGATTATTTCGGAAATGCCAATCAGATGAAAGGGCCAGAAGTTACAGCAGCAGCAGCAGAGTCAGCAGCCGCCATCCGCACTGCAGTGTGTGCCTTGTCGATTAGCCCTGTCTGAGCATTTCGCCAGTGAGTCAACCCAGTACGCAGCGGCAGCGGCGGCGTCGTGCCGCTGACCAATCTCTGTCACGCTGAAAATGTTCAAGTGATCAAAGTACAAGTGTGGCCAATTATTTTGTCTGATAGCCAAGAAGTGTGTGTTCTTGGGCCCGCTGACGCCTGACTGACAGAAGCAATTTCGCTGGGATGCTCCGTTGCAGAGGAAGGGGGACGTGAGTACATACATACATATGTACGTATAATAAAAGCCTATGGCCAGCAAAGTGTTTAAAATCGTTATTTATATTGGCAAACAATTTGTCTATGTGGCTCCCACAATTACAAACGTGTAGAGTTGTATATGTATATGTTTGTGTATGTGTATATCCATGTACAGAGGTAACTAAGACTAAATAATGCAACTTAGGCTACGAAAGGGAGGGGTGGCAACAATCTTTACACTTATCACTAGGGTACGTCGTAATGCACTAATCTGAGTTTAGCAGTCGTTGCTTAGTGTCATAAGCCGAATTTAAGATATAACAATGACTTAACGTGATCTACTGTACACCAAACGTTGTGCTTTCTTAACCATCACCAGTCGTCGCGCGGCAGCCGGTACGTCGAGTTGTCGCTCCGCACTATGTGGATGCCGGCCCCGTAGTAGGGTATGACGTAGGCGGATCCGTCGGCGGGCCCCACCACCTGCAGGGCGATGAGGACAATGTCGATCAGCTGGCCCAGGAACATGCCGCCCAGTGTACAGAACTTGAGCAGACCGATGCCCGGGTATCCCAGGTAGAAGCGGTCCACGCCGAACATCCCGAGGAACACTGACAGCAGTAATGTGGTGTCCAAATGGTAGCCATTCCTGTGGAGAAATGAGATATATCAGTAATGGGCCTCTGTGGGCAAGACACACAAGGGCTAGCACTAACGTCCACTTGCAGGGCACCTCCCGCGTGAAGGTGGCGTTGCCCGTTTCCGTGCAGTTGATTTCGTTGGCGGCGATGCACCACACCCGTGCCCGGCTCTCCTTGGTGCAGCCGCGCAGTTGCTGAGTCTTGGGGTCGATGTGATTCTTGGCAGGATCGGGACACATGAACTGGCCCATCATCTGCAGTTCGTTGCAGTCGACATTGACTTGGTCTGATTTCGACGTGAGGAAGAGCAGGATCAGCGGGACAGCGCGCCAGTACATTTGTGGCTTTGGCTGAGTTTGGCGTGTGTCTTCGTTGGTCTGGTCCTTGGTGGAGGTGCTTTGGTTTTGGCCGTGTTGCGGGTTGCGGTTGCAGTTTGCGCTTTGACACGATTCGTTTTGTTTCGATGTTATGTTGGATTTTGTTGGGCAGGCAGGCACCAGTGTTGTTGTTTGGACTCATTGGCATTTGGGATTAGAGTGTGGCCGTGCACTCGTGAGCGGCATGCTGAGATGCCAAAATGTGCTGTTACGCGCACATTAAGTTTACAGTGGGGGTGTGTGCCATAAATGTGTGCTGTTAGGCGCAAAGTAGTTATTTCAAAATGAAATTCGTTTCTTTATTTTTTTAATGTTTTATCCACCGCAAATTACGCACTAGTATATTTGTATCATTGAAACAGACCCGCCTGTTTATTGAAAATGTACTTCTTGCAACTCAACAGCACCTGCACATCCCTGACCTTCGCAATCGTCGATTCGGAAAGAGGTTCTCGGAACACAATGCAGACCTTGGAGCTCTGTCCGAAGGTGCGCTCTATGCAACCCCTCTCTCCGGTGGACAGCTCGATCCACATGCCCACGTACATGTCTCGGTTGGTCTCCTTCTTGAAGAGGTTCTGGACAATCACCTCGTTCGCGCTGACCACCCGCTGGATGCTCGCCACTTTCTGCTTCCGCTTGAAGACGCACAGCTTGGGCAGGACGTCTTGGACGTAGTTGGTGTTTTGCGTCTGCCAGGAAATCTGTCCCCAGAAGGCCAGACGGCAGCTGTTGCTATGGGCGTCCATGTCCAGCTTGGAGGCAATCAAAGTCGTGCCCAAAGTGGTCAGGACGGGGCTCTCGAACTGCAAGAAAGCAAACACCACACCTGTCGCCGGCATTTCCGCTGGCAGCAGCTCCTCCGCATACTCGTACTCTCTGCTGAGGTCGAATTCAGTCGATTGGGCTTCCTTGTCTTCGAACAGGGTTACATTGGCCATTACGGTCTCATGGCCGACGCTAATGTGGAACTTGCTTTTTGACTTGATGGCGTTCTTGTAGTAGCGGATCGACCTCAGCTGCAGGCAGACGGCCAACACAGGCTTCAGGTAGCCCGGCTGGGCTATTACACCGCGCTCCAGCAACTTGGCATTGAACTGAGTGATACAGAGGCCGATGCGATCACCCATGGACGCGCTGGTCACGTTCTCTCGGAACATCTGCATGGACTTCACCTTCCGCTTCTCGCCCAGAGCCGGCAGCTCCACTGTATCGTTGACCTGTACGCTGCCCTGGATCAGTGTGCCGGTGCAGACTGTGCCTTGGCCCTTGATGCCAAAGCAGTGATCCACGTACATCAGGAGGGGAGCACTCGCATTCCGCTGCGGTTGAAAATATGCCTCGCTCAGGCTAGCACGCAGCTCGGGAATGTTGGTTCCCTCCAGGGCAGATACTGCATACATGGGAACTTCGCTGCCGAAACTTGTGGCCGCCAGAGTCTTGGCCAGGCGCGAGCGCAGCTTCTCTAGCTTGGCCTCCCTCTGTTCGTCTGAAAAGGCGTCGATTTTGTTGATGACCACAATTAACTTCTTTTGCAGCAGCTCCCCTATGACCAGGCACTCGGCTGTCTGCGTCTGAATCCCCTTCTGGGCGTCCACCACTAGCAGCATTAGATCGATGATCTGAGCACCTGCAGGGGTCATTCTCATTGATTTACTCAAAGGTGTCATGGATGCGAGACCTCCTACCTCCTATGATGGTGCGTATGAGACTCGCATGGCCGGGGCAGTCGACAAAGGTGAACTGCAGCTTATCCGCCGCTTGCGACAGAGTTGGCGGCACCTCCACGAGCAGTCCGCTAAAGCCCAAGTCCAAGGTAATCCCTCGCTCTACCGACTGGGGATTCTTGTCGAAGGCCGCTGTGCTCGAGATGGAGCTCAGAGCTCGGGCCAAAGTGGTCTTCCCGCTGTCCACGTGCCCCAGCAGGCCAATATTGAAATTTGTCGGCATTCTTCATCGGCTGAATATTATAAACAAAATGCAATAGGGATGGCAGAGTCTCGATAACAGCAACATTGCTTGCATTCTCTGTTATGTTAACACCTGATTGCATTTTGCACAAATTATGTGAGCACAATTACCTAATTATGTAAGTAATTCTATCAGGCAGGCCCCCGTTTTTACTTACTTTTGCGTTTTCAGCCAAAAGTCATATAAGGCTGCTCCGACATTCGCAAAAGTGTGGTTGGTTACATTTAACAGAGACTTATCGATAGCTCAATTGCACTGGTAATAGTGTCAAATTCATTTCAATGCATCAAAAAGTCATCTATTTTCATTATGCAATTAAAATTTGTTTTGTTGTATAAAAAGCCGTTTACTTTTCATTTCGGCTAGCAGCGTCTAACTTTCTGTTTTCAAAAGTAATTTGGAAATATTTTTGCGAAAGTGAAAACCGGAGCCTGCTTGATAATTATGGAGGTAATTCTGTGTTAACTAAACAGCTGATTATCAAACATATGCAGGGCCAATAATAGAATAACAACATACAATTTTGTTATCTGAAACAATTATACGAGGTCGCTTTAACAATGCTGATAGGCTTAAGTGGTGTAGATGTAGATTTGAAAGACATTTTTGCACATATGGTGCCTACTTTTGTGTTCGCATACATATGTATGTACATATGTATACATACATATGAAAAGTCTAAAGAGCAAACGTGCAAAGTTTGTTGCTGGCCTGGCTTCTCTTCATACAAGTGAAATCGATGGTGGCCCCTCAGTTAGCCGCAGCAAGTAACAGCAACAAGTGGCTGTAGATTTTAGTCTCGCAGCGCATTCACAGAAAAGGAAATGGCAGCTTCAGCTATCCCAACTTCCGTTAATCCCGATATCCAGAAGGAGCGGGATGCGGCCAGCTTCAGCAGCGAAGAGTTCGCGGCCTGGTGGTCAGGTGGCGAGGATCAGCTAAAGTTCAACCGAAGCGTGCGTACGTAAACAAACTCGTACTATTGCTTATCTTGTGGGGCAACAACTCGATTACCTTGGCATGAAAATCATGCTGACTGTGCTATTTTGGCTTGCTTTGCAGGAGACTACCTGCAGAAGGATATGGATGTGGAGGAGGTGCGACAGATGCACAACAAGTCGCATGAGGAGATCTACGAGTTTTCCAGCAGGTCGGCCATTGTTGCGGCAAAGAAGCTGCAGCGGCTGCAGAAGGAGCGTAATCCCGGGGGAAACGAATACTGGCCGTGAGTGGATCTGTGTGGAAGGGCATTAACAGATAATAATCATTTTGCATTCACCTGTTCAGTACACTTTACGATAATCAGGTAATGTGGGGCCTGGTTCCGGGTGGCAATCCCTTCGGCGTGATGTACGTGATGCTAGTGAAGGCACTGCAGGCTCAGTGCACCCCCGAACAGTACGAGGAGTTCGGCAAGCGGATAGAGAACTTTGAGGCCTGCGGAACGTATGCCCAGACAGAGCTGGGACACGGCACGTACCTTCGCGGACTGGAGACCCGGGCTGATTTCGATCAGAAGACGGACGAGTTCGTGCTGAATACTCCCAAGATATCCTCATACAAATGGTGGCCTGGAGGCTGTAAGTGCAATCAACACTCAGTTTTCCCAACGAGATGTAAACTTTTCTTTTCTTCCAGTGGGCCACAGCTCCAACCACTGCATGGTGATGGCCCAGCTGTACATCGACAACAAACCCAAGGGTCCCCACATGTTCTACATTCAGGTACGGGACGAGGAGACGCACGAGCCTCTTCCCGGCATCCACATCGGCGACATCGGCAAGAAGATGGGCTTCATTGGCGTAAACAATGGGTTCTTGGGCCTGAAGAACGTCCGCATTCCCCGCACCCGCATGCTGATGCGCCATGCGCAGGTCAATTCTGACGGCAGCTATGTCAGTAGTCCTTCGAATGTCCTCACCTACTTCGCCATGGTGCGCACGCGCTGTGTGATTGCCTGGAACAATGCCGTGATGCTGGCGATTGCCGCCACCATCGCCACTCGCTATTCGGCAGTGCGCCGACAGAGCCCCATCAATCCCAAGTGAGACCCATGCACCTCCGCAGTTGAACGTTTGGAGTAATTTCTTCTTTGTTTTATGGATAATGCAGGGAGCCAGAGCCACAGATTATGGACCACGTGACGCAGCAAATGAAGCTGTTCCCGGAGATAGCGACCAGCGTGGCGTACCGCCTGGCCAGTGCGCACCTCTGGAACCTGTACGACATTACCTTGGGCGACATATCCAATGGAAAGTACGAGCGTCTCCCGGAGCTGCACTCCCTGTCCTGTGCCTTGAAGGTGAACTGCTCCTCGGACTCGGCCATTGGTGTTGAGAGGCTGCGACTAGCCTGCGGCGGCCATGGCTATCTCAGCTCCTCCAATATGGGCCACATCTACGTGAATGCCACGGCAGCATGCACCTACGAGGGCGAGAACACGGTTCTGCTCCTGCAGATTGGCCGCTTTCTGATGAAGTCGTGGCGCGCGGCGCTGAGTGGTGCTCCATTGGCGCCCACCGTCAAGTACTTGGCTGAGGTCCAGAAGAAGCCCGAATTTGGTTCTTGGACGGGCACCTGGGAGAACATGGTGCAGGCTATGCAATTTGCTGCAGCGAAGTAAGTAAACCCCCGTCCCACTTCATTGAGCTACCCTGACGATCACTTTACTTGCAGAAAGACTGCCTTGGCTTTCAAGAGCCTCTCCAGTCGTCTGTCCAGAGGCGAAACCGAAGAGACAGCGGCAAACCACACGGGAATCGAGCTTACTCAGGCAGCAGAGGTTAGGTTGTTTACATAGCTTTGGACTTTGACCCGCTCTGATCTTGATTTATTTTCTCGCAGCTGCACGGCCGCGCCTTCGTGTTCTCCTCATTTGTCGACGAGGTAACTGGTCCCAAGGCAAAGACTCGTTCAGCGGCGTTAAACCACGTTCTGGAGAACCTTTTGGAACTGTACTTGGTCAAGGAGTCGCTCAATCACATGGCCAACTTGCTTAGAGTAAGTTTGCACACACAGAATGTTTGTTTGCACACACAGAATGTTTGTTTGATCGATTGATTAACTCTTGCAGTTCATCGACTTGACGGACACGGATCTGACCAGGCTGCAGGACCGCCTGGAAACAGTGCTGACCAAGCTCCGTCCCGATGCTGTGGCCATTGTGGATGGCTTCGACTACAGCGATGTACAGCTCAACTCCACGCTGGGCTCCTTCGACGGCAATGCGTACGAGCGAATTTTCGATGCGGCCATGAAAAATCCCATGAACCAGAAGTCGGTGCCAAATTCCTTCCATGGGCACCTTAAGCCCTTCATGAAGTCCAATATCTAGTGCTAGTGCAATGTTAATATGCATATTTGTATGCCTCTTATATATGGGTGATTGTGTGATCAAAATATTATATTTTTTTATTATTTATTATCTCTATTGTTTACTTATCCTCCCTAATTTAAAGGTTTACTTTCTGTGGGACTCTTCAATAGCCTTTAGACGCCCAGAGCCATACCTGATGGTCTGACAATGGCTTACAGCAAAAGAAGTACAAGTTCTACTTGTGCTTAAAGTATATTGATATTAAATTTGTCTATGAATCCATTGAAACAGCTAAACACTGTTTTTTGTGTTTCTTTGATTTTGTCTGCTAAATCTGATTTTTGGTCTTCGAGATGAAGCTCTCCATCTCTTTCAATGAACCTAACACCGAATCCAATCCAGAGGGTGCTGCATTTGCAGTCCATGCTACTGGAAGAGAAGGTATGTCTAGATCAATTATTTTTGAAGCTAATTCAGCACCGTCGTATATCGGCTTATATTGGTTTAGGGTTTCTTCGGCCTCTCCAACAGGAGGTTCGGTAACCGCCAGATCCATCATTTTTGAAGGTATTTCAACAGAAGACTTCTGCTTAAAGATTAAAGCTTCACACACGGCACGTGCATGCAATGCGCGTCTCTTCTCACGATTTCTAAGTACTGAAAAAGCCTTTGCTGCCGTTACTGGACGAGCTGATGCGGGATCCACGCTTTCCTTCTTTATGTTTTCTGCTTTTACAACAGGAGGTTCCTGTGTGTTGCTTGTCTGTTGCTGCTTCTGCCTCATTCAAAGGAAACAAATCGTCTTCGATCTCCTCCTGGGTGCTTTGCGACTCTTTGTACTCGATTGGTCCTTGAGCACGACGTCGTAGCACCTTACGTTCAATATGATATTTTGCGCTTTCCATTGCCTTACGCTTCCTGCAATCAAAATAGATTATGACTTTATTCCGAACCGAGTTATGCTCGTTGGAAACTAACCTGTTACGTGGACTTAGTTTTTGAGTCGAGTTGGAGGAATGAGAGGCTGGGCTGTTTTTTGGATCCGACACCTTCGATGCTTCGATCTTCCCATGGACAAGTGTTAAGGAAGAACCTTTAACATCAAATGCTTCTGTCAGTTGACGGTAGATAGCCGAACCTGTGAGCATATGTTCGTGCATCTCCTTGAAAGCGTCCATATCAAACAATTTGGTGGCAACGGTTCCTGGTGGGGGAAAGAGAACTGTTTCACAAAAACTCATATCACCCGGCAGACTACATACCTCTGCGCAGCTGGGCGCCCTCGATGCGATACTGCTTCAGCTCTTCATCTTTTGCCTGTAGTTGCTTTGTCAGCGAGAACACCTGATCCCGCATGTTGCTGGCACAGGAAATGGAGTCAAGAAAAACCTTGCGATAAAACTGCAAAAAAAGATCGGCAATCAGCATTGGTGTGGATTGCATGTGGGCAGTAACTAACCAAGGCTCTGTCCATGTGTGCCAGGTGCCACTCCCACTTGAGTGGCATGTTGTTTAGCATTTTATATTTAAGTTGCAGCACGCATCCGGCATCCTGGTTTGCTTCGCTCAGCGAAGCATGTGTGGGATCGCCACGGACCAGAGCCACACGTACATCATCTTCTGGGAACTTCACTCGGGTGTTCAGCGCCTGCAAGCATGAAATATTCCTCTGAATTTGAATGCAATGCTTGCAGGCCATCAGAACTTACCTTCAAGCGCTTGGTGAAATCACTTGCGGACAAAGACTCTGTGTAGCTTTGCTCGCGCTCTTGGTCGAGGCACTGCAGCTGGAGGCCAGTGTCTGGGCCAGTCGCTACAAAGTTAATTACAAATTTCCTTCCATTGATATCTATTAGTTTTAGCATTTTTTGCTTTTGGTTCTTGTCATGAAGTGAATGGGAAGGGGAATGTTGACAGCTGTTTTGATCTGTAACAGCGAGCTGTTATGCGCATCTTTGCTCGGCTAACAGCTGTTGTTTTATTATGTGTCTTTATGTTATTTTAATTATGTTATGTCGAAAGTTAACGGTCAACAGACCAAATGGCTGCTCTACATGCTTTTTACACTACCGTATCATGGCAGCCTATCTTCGGCGCTCTCTCTCTCTCTCTCTCTCTGGACATTCTCTCTTTACAAAGCTCCAAATTGCACTTTGCCCCCCCACAAAGCTTTTTAATTCGCGCACCAAGAGCGCCACTTTCGCTCAGAAGTGATCCAGTACTTTGGTGAGACTCACAGCTGTTGGAACATTCCGCTCGTTCTATTTAAGTGCTGTTACCGTTGCTAGTTGTTAGTAAAATTGGTAAACGAACAAATGTCGCACATAAAGAACCTTATACCGACTACGGTCAATCCCGACCTGGTGAAGGAGCGCTCCGGGGCCGAGTTTGATGTGGAGGAGTTTGCTGCCTGGTGGCACGGTGGCCACGAGAAGCTAAACACCAAACGCGAAATCGGTAAGTCAAAAAATCTGGGAATTGCTACGTTATAGCTGGCCGTCTTCACTGGCCAATTCAAACAAAAGAAAACGAATCAGGGTCGGGTCCAAAGAGTTCTTCTAATTACCGGCAAAGTCCAACAGATTTATACATTGCTAAGCGTGTGAACTACCAATGTTGCTATATCAATAACAGATAATGATAGCAGCCAAGTTTCATTTGATAAGCGGCTGCTGCAACAGCACACCGCACAGCTTATCGCAACTGGGGGGCTCATCCACGTCAGAAGATAAGTTCTTTAATTTCTTCGACAGAAAGCGCAATCTTTAGCGACCTGGAGGATGGCTATGGGCTGAATCATGAGTACATGTCGCACGAGGATGTCTACAACTCGAGCGTGAAGAAAGTGGCAGAGGCCGCCGTCAAGCTGAAGGCTCTCCAGAACAAGATCAACCCAGGCGGCAACGACATTTGGCCGTAGGTACTACCCGATCATGTTGGAAAAAGTGTCCGCTAATCCTCTAATCTCTTCCTGGTGCAGCGGCTTACTGTACAATGTGCATAGCCACGGTCTCTTTCCCGCCAACCACCCACTGGCCACGCACATCACCATGTTCGTGGATGTGATCAATGGTCAAGGCACGCCGGAGCAGGTCGAGAAATGGGGCAAGGCGGCCGAGAACTGCAACATCATTGGCACCTACGCCCAGACTGAGCTCGCCCACGGCACGAATGTGCGCGGAATAGCCACGCGGGCGGACTTTGACCCCAAGACGGACGAGTTTGTTCTGCAGACTCCCAATTTGGAGGCATACAAGTGGTGGCCCGGCGGCTGTGAGTAGTGTCCATTGATAACTTTGCAACCGTCACTGATCTGATCTGATCTAATCTGTCTCTGCCCCCCTGCCAGTGGGCCACACTGCGAATCATGCCATGGTGGTGGCCCAGCTTTACATAGCCGATGTCCATCACGGCGTGCAAATGTTCATTGTGCCAGTGCGAGACGCGGAGACGCACTTGCCGCTGCAAGGCGTGGACATCGGAGAGATAGGAAAGAAGCTGGGCATGGTGGCTGTCAACCAGGGCTTCTTGGGGCTCGACAATGTACGCATTCCCCGCACCAACATGCTGATGAAGTTCGCCAAAGTGGAGAAGGACGGCACCTTCAAGGCCAGCCCCGCCTCGAGGGTCAACTATCTGACGATGGTCTACACGCGCTGCCTGATTGTCAACCTGACCTCCACTCTGCTACTGGAAGCGGCCACTATTGCCACCCGCTACTCGGCCGTACGCCGCCAGAGTCCCATCGAGGCCAAGTAAGTGCTCAGAGACATTCTCCATCCCCCAGTTAAGTAACTCCTGTCCCCTTGCAGCCAGCCCGAGCCCCAGATCATTGATCACGTCACGCAGCGCCTGAAGCTCTTCCCAGAGATAGCCAACGGCATGGCTTACCACCTGGCTGCAGAGCACATGTGGGAGATTTACGCCCAGACGGTGCAGGAGGCGAACAGCGGCAAGTTCGACCGACTGCCCGACATGCACATCCTGTCCTGTGCCCTCAAGGTCCTCTGCACGACTGACGGGTGTGCGGGCATCGAACGGCTGCGCCTCTCCACAGGCGGACATGGCTACCTCACGGCGGCCAACATGAGCAATATCTACGGGAACGCTGTGGCAGCCTACACCTACGAGGGCGAGAACACAGTGCTGCTCCTGCAGATTGGACGCGCGCTGGTCAAGGCCTGGGCTGCCTTTGTGGAGAAGAAGCCCGTCTCTGCCTCCTACGGCTACTTTGCGACATCCACGCAGCTGAAGCAGTTCCCCAAGTGGGACAACTCCTGGCAGTGCATCATCCAGGCCCTGCAATACACGGCCGCTCAGTTAGTTCCGTTCCAGCTTACTTTATTCGGTAACCAGTTTTAGAACAACTCCTCATTTTCAGGAAGACTCGCATTGCCTTCGAGAACCTAGCAGAGCGCATGGCCAGTGGCCAGTCGCAGGGTGTGGCGGCGAATAACACAGGCATTGAACTCGCCCGTGCAGCAGAGGTGGGTCCATTCTCTGTTGTATCGACTAGTCATTATCTTCTGTTCAAACAAATTATAGCTGCATGGCCGTCAGTTTGTTTGCCAAACATTCCTCGAACAAGTCACAGGACCCAAGGCCCAGAAGCGGTCGGCGGCTCTCAACAAGGTTTTGGAGAATGTTCTGGAACTCTTCCTGGTCCAGACTGTGCTCAATAACCTAAACGATGTTCTGAGAGTAAGTTACATGCTGTGAAGTGATGCCATAGATCGACTAATTCCAACCTCCGATCCCAGTTTATCAGCCTCACCGATGCAGACCTCAAGTCGCTGCAGAAACGCTTGGAGGTGGCTCTGGATAAGTTCCGTCCCAATGCAGTGGCCGTTTGCGACGGCTTCGGCTTCCATGATCGCGTCCTCAACTCGGTGCTGGGCAGCTATGATGGCAATGTCTATCCCCGACTCTTCGATTCGGCCAAACGCAGCACCATGAACCAAAAGCCGGTCCAGAAGTCCTTTGAGACATATCTGAAGCCCCTGATGAAGGCTAATCTGTAATCTGTTCCGCGCCAAGTCATGCTTATCGTCGATGTGTTTTAACAAATAAATATGAGTAACTCTAAGCAACAAGAGTCCATAGCTAGACATCTCAGAGATCTTCAAAGAAATGTATTAGAGTGAGCGTTGGGGTATACGTTAAGTCCCAAATTGATAATTCATATCGTAGTGTCCAAAATGTGTGAAGAATGTGAGTGTTCCACCTGCATGAATGACAAGCAGTGCTGCTGGTTCTTTGCAGGGTGGAACATAGCCACGTCCTTCATGTGTATAATACTAGCATCTGTACAAATTCACAAATACTATGCTTGGACGCAGAAGGATGGCAGAATTCATGGCAGAGGTGCGATTTGATCGGCAAGAGAAAACTGACTGGTAATCCACAAATATTTTCAGATCTTCTCGTTCTGAATAGTCGTAGCGCCACATATAAATTAGCGATTTGGTCAGTCGTCCTTGCTGCCAGCATAATTCACTTATTGTCTGGGACTCTCCTAATGATTGGATTGTCGAAGGTGAGTATTCGCTGCAGTCCTGCCCAGTACATAGCCTCCATTGCCTCTGCAGGATATCAGATGGTTGTTCTTGGTGGGGAAAACTACGAGTCACATTTTCCCATGTGCTATGCTGTTGACAATACTCGCTCCAGGTGGGTGTTCCACTGGCTTTGCATCGATATCGATTCCTTGTTTCTCCCCTCACTTTCAGTTGTCCATTGCGTATGCATTATTCGCGTGTGCAAGTTCTACAGAAGCCACTGGTGATAAGAGTAGGTGCCCCAACTGCGATCTCGTTCTTAATCATTCCAAATTTACGTCGTCTTCAGTGTATTCTTCCTTTAGCTATTAAATTTAATTGGAATCGTCGCACTCATGCTCTTTCTGCACCTGTTTCCATTTCATTACTTTTTGCTCATTTCGATAGTCGACAGGCGATTTATTGTTTAAGGAGCGTTTCGCATTCGTGTAAGCTTATGCTACGTACAACATGGAAACTCGAATACACCCGGAGGGTTCGCATAGATTGTTGCTACAAAAGGGTCAGCGGGGGGGATGGGAATAGTTGCCTTATCAACAACTTACTAAGCTTTAACATAAGTACACGTACTTAGATTATAAATAATTTAAAGTGTTTGCGGGGATCTGTGACCGCCCTCTGGCCCACTGGCCTACTGGCCTACTGGCCGCCAGCACGCTGCACATTGTCGAATGGGATTAGCACCCCGGGAGGGCCTCCAAACCGGCTCGAATGGCTGCTGGAGCCAGCGCTGGCCACTTGATGATGCTGCTGCTGTGTCTGCTGCTGCTGTGTCTGCTGTGACTGCTGGAAGGGTCTCGGCTCGGCCTGAACAGAGAGAACACCGATGGGTGCACCGAAGCCGCCGGTGTAGCGACCCGGGTTGACGGTGGGACGAGCTCTGTTTGCCTTGAGCGTGTTGCTAAATTCGTGCTGGCTGCCGGCCACGTAGATGCCTCCATTGCTGTCCGGGCTGTTGGCTGCCGGACTAGTGTTGGCGCCGGAGCCGGAAGTGCCTGTGGCCTGGGGACGCAGCAGACCTGGCGGTGCTCCAAATCCTCCCGTATACTTGCCCGTGTTGGTGGGTGGCGTTGACGTATCTGAAGAACGAATCAATCAGATGGAGATCTCTCGGGTAACCTTTGAGTGGCCGTACTCACCTTTGCGCTGTCCACTGATGGGGGTGCTGATCACCTTTCCCTCGTCGCTCTTCTTGTACTCCACCTTCTTGGTGACGCCATCAGTGGAGCCGACGCCATTGAAGGGCGGGAACTGATCTTCGGTGACGGTGACCTTTGGGGCCTGGGTGGGCGCGGCGGACTGAATGCCTTGGGGATCAAAGCGTGCTGCAAAATTGGTGATAGAGTTTGTACTAGGATTTTGTGGGACGGAGCTGCTCGTCTCATCGCTGGGCTGGTCAGCTGGCGGCACCAGTACCAACGGCGGCTCTGGGCTCTCGTTGGAGCTGCTGGGACTGCTCTCGATGCCTTGGACGGTGCCTGGAAGCGGAAGCGTGACTTTGGATGGAAAAGCGGAGGAGGCTGCTCTGGTCGGGACTGGTGTTGGTGGGGTGGACGGGAAGCGTGGGGTTGTGGCCTCAAAGCCCTGGGGCCTAAAGTCATTTGGCTTACTACCTCCCGCCGCCTGCGTCGAATGCTGGCTCCTTGAAGTTGTCCGGATTATAGGGCACTCCTGGTCCCACATCCGGATAATCGAAATCCCGCAGCCAGGCCGGCACTGTGGACGAATCAAAGGGGTTGTCCTCCGCTGCCGTGGGCGTGCCTGCCCTTGCCCCATCCAGGAGATCTGTGTGGTGGGTGGTTGTGATCAGTTTCGTTTGCTGTGGTTTTGTTGTGTGCGGTTTCTGTGGTTGGGTGCTGTGCGTTGTGGGTATGGAGGGTGCATTGGTGGTTCGCAGCGTGGTCGGACGTCGAGTGCCCGTCGTCGTCGTCGTCGTTGGAGCTCTTGTGGTACTGGTACTGGTTGTGGTTGTGGTTGTGCTGCTTTTGGTGGTGGGCAGTGGTGGAGGCCTTGCCGTCGGGGGCGGCGTCAGCTGAATGTTGTTCAGATCCACGTACGGCTCGTACGGCGGCTCCAGATCCTCGGCCAGCGTGTGGTTGTACTGGTCATTGTCCGTGGGCACGATGAAGGTGACGGCCACGTCCAGGTCCGGATCGGTGACTGCCTGCAGCCAAGGCGGCAGCGTGTACGCGTACTCCTCATTGTTGTCCAGCTTGTAGAAGGTCGATGGATCCAATGGGGTGGTGCTGCGCGGCGTTGGCTGCACCGTCGTCGTTCTCCTTGTTGTTGTTGTTGTGACTGGTCTTGGTGTGGTGGTTGTCCTTCTGGTTGTGCTGGTTGTTGTTGTTTTTGTTGTCGTCGTCGGTTGGGGTTGTTGAGTGGTGCTGATGCTGGTGCTGCGCGGCCTTGGCGTCGTGGTAGTGCTTCTGGTGGTGCTATAGTGGGCCGTTCCGCGATGCCGATTGGGGAACCTTCCTCCCGCATTGCTCGGCGTCGTGCTGCCCACATGCGCATTGGTTCCATGAGCTTCCGGTCCATCCCGCTGCAGCGGCACGACCGACACCTGACCCTGCGTCTGCGTCTGTTGGGGCACAGGGTCCGCCGGGGTCAGGGCATCGCCGCTGCTCAGACTCAGGTGTATGTTGTGGCTGGCAGGATCCTCCACTCCCTGCACGTACCTCGTCGGCTGTTGCTCGGTGATTATCAGTGGCTCGGAGGTTGGGGCAGGGTCCGTGAGATGCGGCGGCAACAGATCCCAGGCGATGACACTCAGAGGTGCTGCATTCGGTGCCGGTGTCCATGGCACTGGACCGCCAATGTCCGGATCCTGGCGCTGCAGCTCTCGGATGTACTCGGGCAGTGTTCCACTGGCCACCAGCGGCTCCTGGGCACTCTCCTCCTGCTGTTGCTGCTGCTGCTGAATCGGCACTAGCTGGGCCTGTTCCACCTCCACATCCGTTGTGACAGTCGTCGTGGTGGGGGATGGGCTATGCTTTGGAGGTGTTAGTGATGTGGCTGGTATTGGTGCTGGTGCGGATGCAGATGCAGATTCTGGGGCTGGTGCGAATGAGTTCGGATCGGTGCTCGTGTCCGTGGGCGGGGCCAGGCCCACTGCGATGGCATCTAGTTGGGAAGGATTCGTATTTGAGTATTTCACATCTAACAGAGCTCTGGGTCCTGGCTTTGGGTTCGCAGAGTGTGCGGGAGAGGGAGTGGGCGAGGGGCAAGGACAGAGTTTGAGACTGGGACTGGGACTAGGACTGGGACTGGGACTTGGACTGTGACTGCGGCTGGCATGGGATGCTGAACTAATCAGTGTGATGGGCGAGTTGGGGGCAAACGGATTCAGACGGAGCAGGGTGAAGGTGGGAGGAGAATGACTGGGACTGGGCGGGGCAATGGCATATTGGGTGGAAGTGGAACTGGAACTGGCATTGCTGTTGGTTTCAGGTGAGTCGCGCTTGACGAGCTTTCCCCCAATTTCATTTGTTTCTGTGGTTAGTGGTTCTACATGAGTGGTGCTAGTGGGTGTGGGTGTGGGTGTGGGTGAGCGGGTGCTGGTGCGGGTGCTATTGCTTGTGAGTGGTGCAACCAAGGCGTTTGTGTCTGTTCCTGTCAGTGTTTGTGGGGCATCGGTCGCGGTCCCTGCTGCACCGCTGGTCGCTGCTCCTCGCGTGGTTCTGGCCGTCGCTCGGGCTGCCGCTGCCGCTGCCTCTGCCGCTGTTGCTGTTGTCAACTCACCAATGTGGGGCGGGAGCAGATCATCCGCCGGCTGTCGGATCTCCGTGATGCCGGACGCGTAGGTGGGTATCTCGAACTGGAGGCCCTGGGCACTGACCACCTTGCGCCCGTCGGGCGTGTCAATGGGACGCAGGCCCGCGATCGGATTGCCGTAGCTGTCGACGGCCCTCTGTTCGCCCACTCCGGCCCCATTGAATGCCTCCGCCGGCTGCGCCAGTGGCGGCTGCAGCTCTAAGGCGAATGGCGAGGGCCGTACATCTGCGGGAGGAGAAGGTTGCTGGGTTAAGTGGCTTGCAAAACTTTCCGAGCCCAGCTCTTCAGAGAGTTGAAAGATGTCAGAAGCAGATGCAGATGCGCAGAAGCAAAAGCAGAAGAGGACAGAGCGGAGGACTATGGGGTAGCTGATGGTGGTTTCTCGGTGACAGATGAGTCAGCAGCGGGCGGCTCTTGGGCAATTTGCCTGCCACTTGCCGCTTGTCGCTGATTGATTGACATTGACTGAGATGGGCCATACATTTGGATGGATGTCCCCTCTGGATGGGTGATTCTGTTGCGACTGTTGTGACGGTGGTGCTGCTGTTGCTGCTGTTGCTGTGAAGGTGTTTGCCGTGCAATGTGGCTGCTGTTAGTTACACAAAGGTCTGCCACCAAATAAAATTCAATTTTAAAAGTTAGTCACTCTAGACGTTTGTGTGTGTAAGTGTGGAAGGTGTGGATGATGTGCGGTTGTGCGATTGTGCGATTGTGTGGGTGGGACAGGTGTTCAACGGCATGCAAGCAAAATGGCCATCAAGTTCGTTGCCCAAGTCTTTTGTTTGGGCCTCTTATTGTGGGTCCAGCTATGGCACAGCTGCCATAGAAAGGAAAGCAAAAATAGTATAGGGGGAAAGACCCGCAGGTAGGAAAACCCGATCAATTAATAAACTTGTGCTGAGCTGTTTCGGATGCACGAAACGCACTGTACCCTGTACCCTCGCCACCCAATCGGCGTATGAGGTACTCATTGTTCTGCCCCTGCTACTGTGGGAAGCCATGTGACAGGCCCGGCACAAGCGGGACAATTCAATGGCCAAATTAATTGTTAATCATTGACGACCCTCCCGACAGCATTTTCGTTATGTGTTGGAGGCTGGGTACACGGGGCTGCGCTCGTGCCGAGTGCGAATAATTAATAACAATTTACTTGGGGGCTTGCAAGGTTCTCAGCTCAGCTCTCAGTTCCCAGCCAAGTGGCGATCTGATCTCCGATTTCTGATTTGTGATCCCTGCCTCGATTTCTCGATTCCTGTTTACGTCGGAATAACTGAATAATATTTTAATAAGTCACTCGGTCCCCCTCAACCGCTCTGTAGGTGGGGGGAATTCTGGAAATGCGGTTTCTGCTCGGAACTCGTCTGTGACTAAGCATCAAACTGAATGCCAGATCATGATGGGCGTTCCATTCATTCGATTTGCTAAGTCTTTGGCTCTGGCTCTGGCTCTGACTCTGGCTCTAGTTAGTTCCGGCTACTAAGCATATGTGCATATTATACATTTTATATATGTACAAATACTCGTACAATGCGATTGTGATTTGCATTCGAGGTGGGTTCTGGCTTATCATTGCTGGAAGCCCTGAACTCTCCTCCCTTTCTGAACCCATCGCACACTCTCGTACTCATAAATATGAATGCCTGCGAGCGATCTAGCGATCCGATGAAGATACAAGCATCCACCATTACTCATTGGGGCACAAAGTGTTTTGGTAATTGAAATTCCATCACAGCCACACTTCCGCCTGAGACCAGGCCTCAAGTTCAGGCCAATTAATTTTGCTTGTCTCCATCTCCAGCGCCATCTCCATCACCATCGCCAGCGACAACTCCATCTTCAACTCCTCCTCCGTTTATGTTTATTCAATTTAATTTTAATTGATTGACAGCTTCACGACATCTGCACCCCCACAAGCCCCAAAGACAATGGGATTTCTGCTTGGAAATATTCGTATTTTGCACTTGCCAATTGTACAATTGTACAGTTTTGTCTGTCTGTCTGTCTGTACATGCCTGATTGTCGATGCCGTTGATGTTTCTCTCTTTTTGTTTGTTTTGGATGTTTTTTTTTTTTGACAAGTTTCTGTGTTTAGTCAACCTTCAGCTGAAATCAAAAATCAGCAAAAAATTGTAATGGATTTTGATTAATCTTCGTTTTGTATCATCCTCTCTGAGGGCCTTGAGTTATCGACTTATTGGGCTGAATGCCAGCCCCAGTCCCAGCCCCCCACACACTCGACGAACTCGACGCGAAAAATGTGTCAAAAGTCATAAAAATCCCAATAAACAAAACGAGTGTGTAAATAATACCTTGTTTTTAAACAAATCAGACGCAAAGCGCGTGTTTATTGCACTTGAATCGATTGCTACGATCGGATGGGCAGCCAGATCGCATGGAAATGCCAGGTGAAAGAAAACTGAGACTCTCCCACAAATACGCAAACATAAATATTTATTGAAATTATTTGGAATAAAACGAACGGTTCTAGATGGCGCTGATGGCAGTGTCGGGTGCTCTTTTGAAGAATTGGAAAATACAAACTCGTACTCGTAGTCGAGTACCGAGAGTGCCTGCCTGCTGTGGCAATCGATTGCAAAACGAAATGTGATTTTCTATGACGAAATCAAGTTACTGCCGCTCTCGTGAGTCTACTACAGTATGCACATATCTTCATCTGTATCTATAACTGGTTGATATCCCATTGTGTTTTAATTACGATAAGCTCAAGTCGAGCCATTAATCATGAAAAGCGAAAATAAAGCACGATTCACCCATTGAGGCCCCGCAGGATGAGGGGGGAGTGCAGTCCCCAGGCCGTACGAATTTGCTAATTATCACGTACGGGTCCATTCATTGCGATAACTCCATTGATTGGCAAAATTCGAAGTCCACAACAGACAAATTTCGGTGTGAACAACCATAGAAGTCCATTAAGGAAATACTCAGAGCATTAGGTGATGCCTAATAATATATATTTGGTTTCAGTCTGCGTATTATCCAATTAAGCGGAATAGTTGTCTGGGGGGTTGCAGCACTCCTCTAGCCATATCCCTATAACCATTCCAACCTGTCCTGGCCTATCGCTCATAAATGCTTCTTTTTTTTCTGTGTATTTGTTTTTGTTTTGGTTTTGAGCTTCCCATTTGTGGCCCCATGACCTAAAAAGAGCCCCATCAACAGCAGATTGTAGCTGGTGTAAACAACTCTGTTAACAAATCGTCTTCTCGAAAGCGTCGCTAAATTTATAGACCTCTGCTCTGATGGGCCGGGGCTGGGACTGGGGCTTGGGCCCCTACTCAGGGTGGTTGGAGAATGGGAAGCAGCTCGTCCCAGAGGTCGTATGCCCCTTCTGTGTGCCCCTCCACCGAGTTTTGTCCCTGCCTGAGGCGAAGACGAGGAGGAGGAAGATCGACAACGACTTAGTGGAAGCCTTGCCAGTCACGTTATCTGTCGCTTGGTGTCGCTTGCATAACATCTGCCGCCGCCGCTGCTGCTGCTGCTGCTGATGATGTTTCTGTAGCTTTATTTTTCTTGGATACACAGCCATCAACATCAGCATCTCTGCTCAAATTTCAGTTTTCGGATGGGACTGCCATTGGAAATTGGATGCCGTCTCTGTTTGTTTTTGCAGCGGCTACTTGATTTCGCTTGGGTCCGGGGATAATGATCTACGCCTAATTTTCTCGAGCCCCAAACAGTTTGTTTATCAAATAAAAACAGATTAAATTGAAGTATCTTTTTCAACGCATTTGAAGAGCGAAGGCAAAGTGCAGCTGGATTCCTTCAAGGCAGGAATAAGAGGAGACTAAGAGATAGACTCTTATGTGCCCCACAATGTGGGTCATGAGCATGATTGGAGGTCATTTGCGAGCTGAGTATATACACATAAGTGGTTGGGAGTAGAGGGAAATGATTTTAGTTGTGGAATGTGATTTCGGTGAGAGTGGGAGGCAAAGTTCTAAGAGCGACACAAAGTGATAGGGACAGTGGGGGTGGTAGGGTGGTAGGGTAGGGGTAAACACATAAAATTAGTAACACTTGCAGTTCGAAGGAAGCTTGGACTTTTTCCATGCTCTATCCAAGCTTCCTCCGAACAATCGTATAATATATACATTCAAAAACGGTTAGACATGCGCATGCGTAGACATGCATAAAGTAGACAAAAAACGAAACAGATGCGCAAGAGACAAAGAGACAGATAGAGAGAGATTACAAGCGAATATCGGATTCGCATATCCGTGCGAATTGAATGCGATGCCGATAACGCAATCGAAACGGTATACATATCTACGATAATGCTACGTTTGTTGTTGCTGTTATTTTACTACTATTTTTCTATTTTTATACCAGGCCTTCCAACGGCTGCGTGGACGCTGAGGAGCAGCAGCATCAGCATAGCGGTAATGCTGGCAGAGCTGCCGCCACTCTGTGATTTGTTCATATCGATTTGCATTTTCGTGGGTGGGGGAGGAATTACAGTTGCTCGTTGTTGCTCGTTGTTTCTCGCTGTTTTTTTATTTGTTGTCTTTGTCACGCAATTAACAATTTAGAATTGGGCATTGCCCAAATACAGAGTCGAAATCCGCGAACGAGTTCGAATAATTATCGCGTAGGAGCAGAATAACAATGATCGGAGCCGCGGCGATGGCAAAATCGGAGGCGACGACAACGACAACGGCAAGCGAAGCCGGCGGCGGCGTGTGCACAACAGTATTGCCAAATACAAATAATATGTAATATTCCAGCCTCTTCTCCCTACTATTCACATCAAATTCAATCAAACTGCGACACGATATCACGAATCCGCAAGACAAGACGCGCGTCCGACGATGCAGCTAACAGCGAAGAGGAGTCAATCGAGAGATTGAGAGTGAGAGTGCCAGAGAGAGAGAGCGAACGGAGATTAACAGGTGCGCGGTGCGATCGAGCGAGACACGTCCGCAGCTCACGAGTTCTGCGGTTTCAATAAACTTGGCAGCGGGTTGGAGCTTGACTTGGAGCATGGCTCTGCTTCTGCTTCTGGCTGTGGCTGTGGCAGTGGCTCTGGCGTTGGCAGTGGCAGCGGCAGCGGCAGCAGCTTCCAGGGAATATAAGCAAGGGAAATGCTGGATATGTGGACTGCCTATACTGTTTTGTTTACTGTTTGACACTTCCCAGGGGTCTGCACTCCTCATTTTACACAACTCGGGGAAAATATATCAAAATCGGATCATAATATCATTTAGTTGCCAGAGGAGCATCATAGAGGGCTTGGATTCAGAAAGATAGGAGTCCCTCCTTATTTCTTGCTATTTGTAGAATCGCATTTCCATTGTCTGGTGCAACCGGAAAGCAGTGGAAAATAATTGTTGTAATTGCCGACTTTTTTTTGCATACTAGTCGGTCTACACTTACACACTGACGTATTGCCAATGACGTTCAAGGTCAGCCGCACCGCCCCATCTGCCCTGATCTGAACCGATTCACAGCCTTCCCATTCCGCAGACTCCCGCATCCAATATTCAGCCCACAGTCGCTTAACATTCCGCCCGAGCATATTCAAAGCAAAACCAAACGACTCCAGCTAGACACAAACTTAGCATAAATATGTAAAATTAGTAGCTTTGCGGCTGAACCTTTGCATACTCTTATACTACTACAACTTAGGAGTACACTGCCTGTGGAACGTTTCAGAGGGAAATCATTTACATTGAGGAACTAGTTTTCGTAGAAACAGACTGGATGTTGTTGTCAGAATACCCCATGGGAGGGAGGGTATTCAAATGGAAACACACGCACTCAAAATGCAAATGGAAATTGAAAACGAATGTGTTTGGTTTTGTTTTATTTTGAGTTGACAGGTTTGGCTTGATTTTCGTCAAATATAGTATTATGCTAACAATGCATAATTTATGCGAACCATTTATCACTGATCCGACAGATCCTGTTCTCACAGCGACTGTCGTCAGATCAGTCCCAAAAAACAACTTTGACACAAAACAAAACCATTCGAAGCCTGCCTGCTGGGGCGGGTCGGGCTGCATTGAGATTTTGGCTGGATCGAGTCACACCCGGCCATACGTTGAGTTGACAGATCAATGAAGATGAGTCGATCTCCGGAGTCAGTGATCGATGAACTTTTGTCATTTAAGCCTGTTCAGCGATTAACACGATCATTGATTAGATCATCGGGTTGTGATCTCGCGGAGTCGAATTTGTACGGTCTTGCGGCATACTGTGGAATGTTTTAGTAGGTCCTACAGATAACGATCATCCTTGAATGGTAGCCCATCTACTATCCAGCGTCTATGGTCTTCTGTAAATAGTGCGCTAATTACCCTGAAATCCCATTGAAAGCCAAACCGTAACCATATCTTTTCGATGTCTCTGGAATGTAATTACGTTTGGGCCCAAGCAAAAGCCATCAAAGGAAATTATGTCAGCTTATTGGTTCCGCATTTGAGCATTTTTACCGCCATTTGGCTTTGGACGATCAAAGAGTCAGCTTCCTAGCCTGATGATGGGTGGGTTGTCTCTTCTCTGGCCCTGTGTAAGTCGTGCAGGGGCGTAGTCTAAGGGGGGATTGCAGTCTATTTTGATATCTTATCCCATTGGGCATTTTAGAGTACTCGTAACCCTCCCTTAAAGCGCCCCTGTGCCTGTTGCATCTGTGATGTCAATGATTGCTTGTTTGGCTTTGGCATCATCATCGGGAATCATGGCTATTATTACTGCTACAATTACAGCAAAGATATTGCCAAATGGGCCGTATCCCGCCCAATCCAATGCCCAACAGTAGCTTTGGGCTTTTGTTGGCTGCGGCGCCCGCCGCCGACAATAAATCAAAACGCTTAGAGACGGACAATGAGGCCGGAGCTGAGACAAAGCCCATCAATGGTCCCCGACCCGGGACTCAGCGGCGTCAAAGAAGTAATCAAAATTGTATTACGAAAACAAACGTTTTTATAAATTTCGTTTCGTTTCTATGGCCCACAACAATGGGAATGGTAGGGCCTGGTCGGGCTCTAGCTCTAGCTCTGGTCTAGCTGTGGCTCTCGTGGCATTAGGTGCCCGCTGTCGCTGCGAAAACTGCAAAGTCAGCGACAGATAAACCACAGCAGCAGCAACAACAACAACAACAACAAAGCTGAAAAAGCATTCACGCTATATATTATTTACTTTAATAGAGTCGCTCCGCTGGGTTGGGAAATGACACCCAGAGTGGGGTCTGCGCCTGCGTAACCCCAAAACCGAATCCGAACCGAAGCGAGCACCATGCGACCGATTTTCGGCGACCCTTCACCTGGGCTTGCGTTTTATAAATTGTTTATAATCATTAATTTCACACCAAAATGTTTGCTTTTTGCAAATCCGATTAGCAGTCGCGACTCGCGGATTCCCCAAGTCGGACTTCCGTTAGCGGTTTTCTTGCGAGGACTTAAAAACCTTTTTGGAAAAAACTTAAAAGGTTAATACATCGCGTAATCGCTGTTTGCCAAATTGTTTATGTTGTTTACGATTTCGCAACCAGTTTCGTGTTTCGTATTAATAAAATTCAATAAAATGCAATTGTCGAACGCAGCCCACATGGAAAACGTTTTCAAAAACGAAGACCCCAAAACATCATCACACTCGAACACTCGAAAAGTCTGATGAAGCGGCAACGAAGCTTACCAGTTTGCATTCAGCATTTTGAGTGCTGAACCAGTTGACGGCTGCTTCGGGCCCAAAGACGGAGACTGTGCCACAACGGCGCATCTTTTTTATTGCAAAAATATTGAAAAATGCGTTAACAACAACATCATCGGACATCATACATACATACGATCTTGTTGGTCACCGTGACCTTAACACAAATTTCGATTTCAGTTTTTGGTTCGAGAGGGGGCTACGTGCATCGGGTTTTTCTTGTCTCACGGGATACGCTGGATGGGATTGATATTGATCCAACTTGTCTTTCATTAATAAATCTCAAGACTTGGCTTTCGGGCGAATTGCTTGTTGACTCATTCCCTGCATAGAATGCGAATATAAGCAATATATGACGGTTCATTAAAACCCAAACCAAAACCGAGCAACAACAAAAAACCCAGACAAACATACATATACACACATTAATAATTTGTCTTTTGGGACAGACTTTGTTGTTGGGTCGGCCATTTGCGTGGGGTTTTTTTTTTTGCCATAATCGAGCGTTCACACATAAGCTCTCTGATGGGGCGGCCGTGACTGAAGAAAGTCAAGAATAACCAGATCGGGTTCGAGAAGATTAGCTGGAATCCGCAGAGACACATCGTAGACACATTTGATTGGCTTGATAGGTATTTGGTTGCCATTTGATCTGCAAACTAATGGACAACAATTTTTATTTGAATTAAAATCGAGCCGTTACCAAGTAGAGTCTACAGTGACGACACATTTGCTCACTTTGTGCCATGTATCGACATGCATCCCTGGCAGGAATCAGCTTGTAGCCGGGTGGTTACCATGCGAAAAAAAAAAATTTTTATTTAAACCTTATTTTGTAAACAATCAAATAAAATAAAGTATTCGTATAAACCAATCTTTTGAAAAATTTATTTATCAATCGGGTAAAATTATATGTTCAGGGCTGAGAGTCTTAGCTTGCCAGCAATATTAAGCTGAATATAAAAATCTAGGAATATGATTTCTGATTATGAACGATTAACCCATTGGCGACCAGTGGATATTTTAATATACGCCACTAAAATAACGAAACTTGAGCAATTTTAACGCAGTTCATGTGAAAGAAATCGTGCCCATTCTCTTTTTAAGTAAAAAGGAAGGAGTGATCTGCAAGGTGAATTCACAAACAGTATTATTTTGCACGATCTAACTCAAGTTGTTCACCTGTTTAAATATGAGGGGGTGTAGTGGGTAAAGTTCGTTCATCGATAAGTCCACTGGTTGGAGCAAAATGTAAACAAACCCAAAACAAAGAGCTTTACGGACCAACAAATGAGCTCCCTGTTTCGTAGCCTCAACAATAGTTTTTCGTCGAAGCGCGAAAATGTCGTCAAGGGTGCGCTGATAAACACACTGAATGAGAATGCCCGCGAGATCGAGTTTGAGGTCAAGCAGAAGGGATTGGGTAAGTTAAGTTCTGGTCGCACTCCATGAATCATTGCATTGCCATTGCTAATGTGGGGACCTCCCACATTTCAGAGGTGGTGGGGCTATGCGAGCAGACAAGTGCCCTGTGCACGACCTTGGAGGCAGTGTTTCTGCATGGCCTGAAGGACTCGTTTCTGTCGGCTACCTTCAATGTGATTGCGGGCGATGTGGAGCGGCGGCCAGACCCCAGCTTCTGGTCTCCCTGTATGGTTTTCATGCACAAGCAGGTGATCGAGCAGATCCAAGGCCTCAGTCAGATCACCTCGGAAATTGGCCAGTGTCGGGCCTGGGTGCGCCAATCCCTGAACGAATCGGTATTCTCGTCGTACCTCAACGTCATGCGGAAGAATAGCTCGGCCATGTCGCACTACTACAAGCGGCACGCTCTGGTCAAGGATGCCGATGGCCTGGAGACGGCTGCCAAGATTATGGAGAGCCTCGAGGCCTACGTCCAATTCGACTTGCCGGTGAACTCGAGCCTGCTGAACCACTGGCCGGACTATTCTCTGCAGCTGTCGGATCTGTGGACGCCTGCCCTCAAGTCATGTCCGGTATGCTCTTTGTTAGTATCTGCTATATTTGGTTGACTATTTTTCACTCTCCCCGTACAGATCAGCAGTGGAGTAGACATAGCCAGCTCCCTGGGCTCCGATATTGTTGCCATACCCACACCGCAACCTCTGCAGACCAACGAGCTCTTTTCAGAGTCTATTTCCAACAGCCCCTTCAGCCGTAGCGGCAACTTCGGAGTGCCGGACTTGAGCCAGCGCGAGAACCTAGACCTGCTCATACAAAAGTTTGACGAAATGGACGTTATAAGCGAAGAGCAGTCCCCGCCCGTAGCAGCAGCAGAAGCAAGTGAAGCTGGAGAGGCTGTGGCTCTTGCGGGGAGCAGTCAGAAGTCCCGGAAACGGTCCAAGCGTCACATAGAGGACGTCACGTCCTTTACCGACCTGGCAGATGCAGAATTGACCAGTCTGCCCCACGGCAGCAATTCCCTGTCCAATCTCATGCAGACCTCCTGGTCCGGCGACCTGGATCTCTCGCCTTCGGCCACCGATGAGCCGTCCGCATCGCGTTTCTTTCAACGCTCCGTGAGCATGAGCAGCTCGACCAGCCTCCGCTCTCCCACCACAGATCGTTGCAGCTACAACGCCCTGCTGCGGAAGCACGAGAACAACCGCGAGAGTGGAGCTGGTTGGTCTGAGATTTGGGAAAAGTTTCGGGCGAGTGCCTCCACATTGAATGTGGCTCAGGTTCAGGCTCAGCGAGAGAGCGATCCTCCTGTGTCCGAGGACTTGAGTGACTTGCAGTCCCTAGATGTAAGAATATTAGATTTTGAAGCCTACTGCCTTACCGCCTTTCTTTCCTTAGACTAACTCCGAATTTGAGCTGCTCGCTTCGGATTTTGACATGGCGGAGCTGCAGCAGATGGTGGCCCAGCTCTGCCAACTGGCGCGCGAGCCTGGTCTGAATGCCCAAGGATTTCTGTGCAAGAGCTGTCAGCATCCTCTGGGAATAGGGTACACAAACTTTCAGTGAGTGGAGCCAGCTAAGAAAGGAGTTTCATCAATTTTAAAGTCCATCTCTTGCAGAGTCTGCGCCTTCAGCGGGAACTACTACTGCAACAGCTGCATGGATGTGGAGACGCAGCTGATTCCGGCGCGCATAATCTACAATTGGGACTTTCGCAAGTACAGCGTCAGCAAGCGGGCGGCCACCTTCCTGGCCGAGTTCAGGTCGCAGCCATTCTTGGACATGCAGGTGCTAAATCCCAGCATTTACTTTGCCTCGGATGCCATGGCCGAACTCCAGTCGCTGCGCATTCGACTAAACTTTATACGCGCGTATCTCTACACCTGTGCGCCGACCAGCATTGAGCTGCTGCAGAATCACTTCTGCGGTCGGGAGTACCTCTACGAGCACATCCACCAGTACTCGATAGCCGACCTGGGTATGATTCAGCGCGGTGCGTTGTGCCAGCAGCTGCAGAAGGCCTTCAAGCTGGGCGAGGCGCACGTACTCAAGTGCCGTCTCTGCCAGCTCAAGGGCTTCATTTGCGAGATCTGCCAGAGTCCAAGGGTGCTCTATCCCTTCCACATTAGCACCACATTTCGGGTATGCCAATCGCCCTTTGTTTTCCCTGACTGTTTTTATTGATTGCCTAATTTCAGTGCCTGACCTGCGGGGCTGTGTTCCATGCGGAGTGCCTTAACGAGCAGCAGCCATGTCCCAAATGCGAGCGACGACGCAAGCGGGAGGATCAAGGCCTCCAGGAGGCCGTGCAGACGCTCAAGCAAAAGCATGAGACGGTCTAGGATATAATCCGTTAGTTCTGTTATCGAATAAGTTGTAAAAGTGCGATATATATTTGGTTATAGTTAACCCAAGAAAAGGCTTTACTTTACATTTAAACTAGGTTTAAGTGCATTACTGTTATCATTTGCTTGTCAGCATTTGCATTTACACACAACACACTCTACTCAAATATGCACTATATACACATACCCACATACAGATACATATATACTCGTTTATATAGTAGATATATCTATTAACTTACCATGTTTGCTGGGTCGGCTTTGGGCCAATGACAAGTTCAAAGTTTGCTTAACGTTTTTGGAATGATTTTGGAATTTATTTATCTGATAACTGTAATGATTCGGATGCTGAATAAATCGTTATGTTAAATGCTGGTTAATACTTCTAGTGACACCAAGTCTAACAACAATGATTGAATTCAATAATAATAATAATAATTATGTAGCACAGTACTCGTATTACATGATAATCTGCATACATTCAATAGTGCCTATGTATGGCCAAAAAGATTTAACAAATTTTCACCAATCGTGGGATGATACTCGTAGATAGATCATAGATTAGATACTTTAGAGATTTTATCACACAAATTTGGGTATTTCAACTAATGAAACGACTCTAAAATGGATGTGTGACAAGATTCGTTGAAATGCTCTCAGTTGTGCTTCTGTTCAGTATACGTATTGCATCTAACATTCTTCGTGTTGTGTGTATTGCTCTAGGGGAGTATCCCAGTGCAGAGTATTCCCCTCCAAGTATCGTGTATACTTGTATTTATATTAATTAGTTGTTGGGTTTTAACATGTTCAGTCTAGTAAGATATTCATATAGAGGCGCTCCTAAATACAATATAATCATATTGAAACATACATACATACAGACACAATATTATGCATATAAAAGATTGCTGCTATATTGCTGTTTTCATAATTTCACTAACATTAGGTGCTAATTCCTATATACAGAACTCTTGTTAAGGGTTTGCTTGCCAAGTGCTGCCAGGGAAGACGCTACAGAGAGATACATACATAGATTTTGATGCGTGTGCCGTGCCCTCTGCTCTGGTGAGTGTTTGTTATTGTTCCTTTTTTTATTTTATGCACTTTTACTTTAATTTTGAACAATAGGCTTTTGCACAATCACTCCGTACCCCAGCGCAGCTATAGTACACTTGTATCCGTATATCAGTACATCCGCCTTTATGTACAACTCATGGGCATAGATATGGAATCCCCTGAGGGACCTCAGCAGACCGTCGAGTTGCGAGCCACACTCCCCGCCGCCTGGGATTGGGGTCGAACGGGGGAGCCACTGCCAGCCGTTCCGGCTGCTCCGCCGCCGTACAGGAAACTGGATTGCCGTATCACGGACACTGTGGCAGCGGCCACGCCTGCCTGTGGCGGTGGTGCCGGTGCCCGGTGCTTCTTCAGTGGTGCATAGGCTGGCTTCAGTGCTGGCGGCAATGCAGCTCCCCCCGTTGTCGTTGAATTCGTGCTGGCATTATTGTTGCAGACAGCCGTAATGTTGTTGTTAATGCCGATGTTGTTGTTGCTTGGCGTCTGAGCGGCAGCTGCAGCGGAGAGAGAGAGAGAGGCAGTGGGAAGAGAGAGATATATGTACAAACATGGATAGATAGCCCAAGAGATGGAGAGATAGATCAATGGGATCGATAAGTGGATATCTGGATCAATGTTTGTGCAGGCAAAACTCCAACGAAGCATACAAATGATAAACGGAAAAGGAAAACGCAACTGAAAAAGGTGTAAATAAAATGGAAAGCAGAGCTTAAAGACGTCACAGATGTAGAGAAACAAAACAAGTGACGAAAGGAATGTAAAACTGGGGTATATCATATAAAGAAGAGAAGCCAAAGTTTGGCTAAAATATCGAAAGGAATACTGAAGATTAAAACAAATACAAAATGAAGGTAAACTTCAAGGCACGGACATTCCACCGGATAGTGGAGAGTGGAAAACCTGGAGCTCCTTGGCTGCTTTCTTCCATATATAAATCATAATACAAAACAAATGAAGTGGTGTTATGTTGATGTAAATCCAATCGAATTTTGGTTTATTGTTCCATCAAAAGATAACTTCAAATTAAAACAAACAATTATACTCGTAATGTGCCTGTTGCATTCTAGAACTAAAATTCATCGCATCGGATATCGGATATATAAAATATGTGTGTGTTTCTATGTATGCATATATGCTGCAGAGATGTGTGTGTGTACAGATAGGTAAAATATACATACATATATATGCAATGGGAGTACAATTAAAAAGCATGCGCTACATGTATTTCAAATTGGTTGTGTGTGGAGCGATTGAGGGGAATACAGTGCTATACGGAAGGAATTCTCTTTACATATACACACATAGTACATATACATATATATGGATATGGGATATAGCTATGCGTAATAATATTGTGTGTGCTTAGTGATAATATCGCGTTTCGTTAACATATTTTATGGAGAGGATCTACGTACATATCTGGTCTCCATCTCCCTATCTTTCTTTTGAAATTTAACAAACATTAACATTAGATGGTATAAAATAGATTATGTTTGGATAAAGCTATTCAACTTTAGTATTATGCAATATACAAGATAACATTCTTCGCTTTGACTGCTTCTGCAGCGATTCTTCTACTCTTTATACATTTATTTATTGGCTCGTTAACAGTAAAATAAAAAAACAACAATAATCAAAAAAGATTCCTAAAACTCTCCTGGTTATTATAACATATGCATGTCTGCTGGATTGGATGGGGAGGGGGGGGCCTTTAGTTTGTTAAACAATAATAATCATTATCGTAATCATAATCATAATGATAATCATAGTAGTAAGTAATACACGTTTAAAATAAAATATATATGTATAATATAATATATAATGTTTAAAAGATAAGAATCGTTGTATGCGAAATGCCAGAGCGTGTGCTTAAGAAACAATTACATAATTATATAACAGCATTCCATGTGTGTATATAACAATAATCGCAGTTACATATACATATGTGCATGGGGTTGTGTATGCGTATCTCTATATACTATACATACATTTATATGTATTTAAAACACTCACAGAACAGACACACCCACACACCCACACACTCACACACGACTACATACCGTTGCTCGCCTTAAACGTTCGACTAGGATAGATTTTTTGTATATTAAGAAACGGCGGCGGCTTGGGGAACTCGGTCACGTTGTGGAATCGCTTCCCGAACTTGGTCTCCAGATCGATGACCAGACGCCCCACAGTGGCTCCTCCTGCTCCAGTTGCAGCTACTGCTCCTCCGCCTACCGACAGTCCGGAATTGCTGCCAAACTGATGCGAGGCGTTGGCCATGTGCGTGGGTGGCGTCAGCGGGGCATTGGGCCGTATGGAGGAGTGCCGCTGTGGCGGCACTGGCGCTCCAGCAACCGACCCCGACCCCGAACCGGATCCGGATCCAGCCTGCAAGAGAGAGGAGAGTGGTGTTAGTTGTGTCGCCTCTTTTACCGTGAGTATCGGGTAATCTCAGACAGCTCTAGTTACGTTGCGCTTGCCGTTGAGCATCAGCATTTGGATAACCTTGAATGGTGGGCGGCCGCGGCTGGTGTTCCGATTCAGAAATTGCCTAAGCGAGAACAGCCTCTTGAACAACCAGTTCTTCACTCGAACATTCTGGGAGTGGACGCAGTTGGAGGAGAAAGCATCGATGAGTGCACGGCCTGGCAGTGGACAAGCAACGAAGGCCACTGGGCCACCGAAAAACAAAGCGAGTGGAGCGTCGTGTGTTTTGGTCACGTCTCACGTTTGGAAAATCAATCTCCCTCACCTCCCCCCCCACCATTTGGCACAAAAATAGGTGAGTTATAAAAAGTATGACTGGCGTGCCCCACAAAGTGCGCAGCCAGCAGCTACACGGAGAAGCGCCTGCGCAGGGAGAATCCCCGTTGAGAGGCAGCTCTGCACTGCGCAAAAAGCGAACAAACAAATGTTATTTGGGATAGGTTATGGCCGTGACGCTCTGACACTGTGAATTCGGGACTGATTTGAGCAGGTGAAACCCCAACAGTCGAGAACCAGCCACTGCTATGCTCATCACGCTCTCATCTCTATTGAGACTCTCTCACGTGCTCCGCTCCTTCTATCTGTTCCGACTCTGTTCTGCGGTGGAGGCCAGCCAATTGTCACCTTTGCCATTTGGGGCAACCTGTTGTTGTGTGTTGCTGCTAGTGCTAGTGCTAGTGCTACTCTGGTTACTTGGCTACTTGGCTACTCACAGTGCTCGATTGTCGCTGCGGCGGCGGTGGAGGCGGACAGCTGCGGTGGGGCGGCGGGGCTGGTGGATTGATGGGTCCCCCATTCAGTATGATCGGCCTGACGGTCGAAGATTTGGGGCTGGCCGTGGCCGATGATGAGGCCGACGAAACAGACGCCGGGGCAGGCAGCGGCGGCAGCGGTGGCGAGGCATTGCCATTCCCACCGTTCATTCCGTTCCCGATGCCGACTGCACGGAACTGGTCACGCAGGGCGGCCACGCTGCTGCTGCTGCTCGAGCTGGAGGGCGGTTGGGTGATGGGAGTCGAGGCGGCCTGCGTCGTGAACGCCGCACTCTGCACCAGGGCCGTGTTCACGGCACTAAACGGCGCCGTAGATGCTCCAGCTCCGATGTTGCTCAAGTTGCTGTTGGAGAAGCTGCGCGCTGGTGTTGGCGGTGGAGGGGGCTTCACCGATGGCCGTGCTACAGGAAGGAGGAGGAGAGACGTTATTCGATTCGGACATTCTGTGGATTATCTTTGTGGTACTCACACTTTGGTGGATTGGGGGCACAGCGCATGCTGGCGACGCTTCCGTCGCTGCCCTGCAGCTGCAGCGGAGCCCGCATGGTCCCGAAATGCTGCTGGGTGGGGAACATAGGCCCAGCCGCTGGCGGAGACCTGTGGAGGGGGCAGACACACATATTAGTAGCGTTTAGGGTATTAGTCGAGGCTATGGCCAGAAATCAAAGCAAAGCAAATCGAAAGCCGTAAAGATGAGCAAAAGCAAAACCCAAACGAGATCGATGGATTGACTGACTGGGGAGCGTGGGGTGACTGGAGCAAGCAGTGTGCATACTTAGCTAGGGTTTACTGTATGTACTCTATACCTGGGCGACTTCATGCTGTGGTGCCGCGTCACCGCCGGACGCTGCTGTCCGTTAACCAGAATCAACTGCTGGAGCCCCGGCGGCTTTGGAGCAAAGTTTGGCTTGCCAAAGCTGATGGCCGGCTTCTGCTGCTGCGACTGGGACTGCGACTGCGTTTGGGACTGCGGTTGAGCCGGCGGCGGTGTGGGCGTACTGCTGGCGGTGGAGGATGGGAGCGAGGTTTGCTGTGAACCAACACCAATAGAAGAACCAGCACCACCGAACAGCGTTGACTTATTGGGCGCCAGGTTGCGCATCGATCCCGCCGCGGACGTTTTGCTCGAGCTCAGCGACGTCGTGGAGGCACTCGCGGCGGTCTTTGCCATCGAACTATTTACAAAACTATTCCCTAACGAGATACTGTGGATACCATGGATAGTGGTTGGTGTTTGTAGTCATAGTTGTAGTTGTAGTTGTGTTGGGTGTGTGGTGTGGGTGAGTGGGTGAATAACAAGAGGATAACCACGAATGCCCGTCAAAGAAATCCACCCGAAAATAAAGAAAGAAAATGTGGAATTTTAACAAAAGTTTCAAAAAGAAAAACCAAAAAAGAGTATGAAATGTTGGAGTAGCCCAACATCCAACATGCATGGCTACTGGTGGATCCAAGGAGAAACTTACTTCAGATTGGCCGCCTTGCTCTTGACGCTGCCACTGGCACTGGCACTGCTGTTGCTGCCGCTCTCCGAGAGCGTGGGCGAGGCGGCTTTGACGGGGCCAGCTGGTGGCGGGGCAGTGCGGGGTGGGATATTCATGCGCTCCAATATCGAATCACTTGAGTTGGTTTGCTGTGGCGGCGGGAGAGAAAAAATATATGAATTATGTGTATGACTGTGAAGCGCCTCAAATACGAATTCTAGCTAGAGAAATTGCACATGTCAATGTTCCTGAATTCCTATTGATTCCCATGATTCAATCGCTTTCCAAAGGTCCACCGTTCAACTCTCACAAGCGAGGAAGCTCCCAGCTTCCTCTCTCCCCTTGAAGTATTATAAACAGCATTCTTTTCCTACTCTTAGCATGTCCCCACTCCACTCCTGCAGTGCTAATAGCATATGGAGGATCTATATTTATACACTCTGCCATCCGTGGGTCCATCAATGGCGGATGCCCTCACCTTTGGCGGTTGCGGTGGAGGTCCCCGATTTGTTTTCAGATTTGCTTCTGTGGCATTGATATGTGCGCTGGGTGCGTGCGGCGACTGTTGCTGCTTCTGCTGCGCCTTCTGGCGCTTCAGTGTTAGGTGCATGGCCAGCTCTGTGTTGAAGTCCATGGGTCCGTTGCTGGATGCGGCAGCGGCCGTTGCGGCTGTGGGGGGGCTATGACTGCGTTGTTGTTGTGCTGTTGCCGCGGCCGCTGCTGCTCCGACTGGTGGTGGTGGGGGCGCTGCTGCTGCTGCTGCTCCGGCTGCGTGGGCGGAAAGCGGAAATCAATTGAGCAACGAAAAACATAATTTGAATAAACATTTGTGAACCTACTGCGATAGCCATTCACGGGCTTCAGCTTCGGCATTTGCGAGTAGCCTTCGAACAGGCCCCCCAATTTGGGGGCTCCATTGCCAAGGCCGTTGCTGCTGCTGCTACTGCTGTTGTTGTTGTTGGTGCTGGTGTTGTTGTTGAGGGTTCGTTTGGCGCCTCCGGCTGCGGCATCTGCTCCACACACCTTCCCCGCCAATGCCGGCCCGCTCTTGTCCACGGTGTTCGTCTTGCGGAGCTTTGTGCCCTTCTGGATGGAGCTGAGAAGGGCAGAGTGTTGATCTGCGCCACCTTTGCCTCCGCCGCCCAGCTTTAAGCCGCCCATGGCCGGGGGCGGCGGGGGCCCTGGTGGTGGCGGTGGTCCCGGTGGGGGCGGTATGGCCATCTGTAATTGCAAACAGAACGGTTCTCGGTTTAATTTCGTTGCTTCTTTAGCAATATTCTAGAATCTAGATTTATGTGCAGCCTAATTCTACTTTTTTCTTAGAGCTTCTCTTCAGTCTCATCTGTGCGTTGGATCTTCTCTTTTGGAAACAATCTCAGCGTCTGCCTCGTAGGGGCTTTGGCTCAAGACTGGCTCTGCGTCGAGACGAGAGACTTCCAAAGCGGAGGTACCGCGCAGACCGCTGTCACCACCCACACGCCGTAAACAGACACAGACACAGACACACGGCAAAGGCAACACAAAGATTTAATAATACAATTTCTATACTTATTATTTATGTCGTGTTTTTTCTTGTCTTGAGATTGACGCCTCGATAAAGCAGCCAGCGAACAGCAGCATTCCCACGCACCGAAGCCTGAAATGCTCTACGGATACGAGCGGAACAGTCCATAGCTTTGGTACATCAAAGATATAATAAGAGGTGAGAGATGGATGTACCCTCTGGGAAGGGTATTAACCAAAATAAGAAATTTCAAGCTCAAGCGGCGCGTAAAGCTGCAGAGTTTGACAGCCACTGGACCAGGCAGACATCCCACCTTCAGCCGGAGGCCATCCCACGTGATCTGTGCAGATCTGACAATATGTATGGGTATTGTCGGCGCTCTCTATACATACATATGTGTGACTGACTGACTGACTTGTCTTTTGTTTTCATCATATTTATGGCTCTCTCCTCCAGAGCGAGGGAATGTGCATTGAATAGAAGGCGAAATCGAATAGCTCAAGCAATTATCAGCAAACTATAATCGAAGCATTTTTATAGCTCTGCTGATAAGACGTGGGGCCGTAAAAAACAAAGCAAATGAATCCATTTCTACATGTGATTTCCATAAAGTGTTCTGTAAATTGCAATTCTCAATCAATTGAAATAGATTCTCTGGAAATTCGGATTCAATATTCGATTCCACAATGAAGCTTCCATTTTGGTGCGCTTTCTGCTGCCTGGCTGTTTGTCTCCGTTCCGTGGAGGTGAGTTCACAAACTAAAGAAAAGGTAAACCCTCAATGAAAAGGAATCCCCAACAGTCGCTGGATCTGGTGGAGCAGTTGGAGGCCATCTATGAAAAGGCAGACACGTTGCTTTCCAGGTATGTTTTCCCAGAATAATTCCACAAGAATCAAGGGTGAACGAATCCACTTCACAGTTTGAAAGACGAACTGCAACAGCACACAAACAGATCCCACAAAACCATCAACCTGCTTCCCACATCCTGCCTGACGCCCGCAATCGCTAGAAGCGGTTTGCACACCGTAGAGGTCCCGGGCCTGGAGCCCTTTGCCGTCTTCTGCGAAACTCAATTGGCTGGCCCTGGCTGGACGGTGATACAGCGACGCACGAACGGAAGCCTAAACTTCTTCCGGAACTGGGAGGAGTACAAGCAGGGCTTTGGAGATCTAGAGGGGGAGTTCTTTTTGGGACTGGAAAAAGTGCGCGCCCTGACGGCCCTCGAACCCTTTGAGCTGTACGTGCACCTGGAGGACTTTGATGGCGAGCGGAGGCACGCGAGATTCGACGAGTTTGCCCTTGGCAGCGAGGAGGATGCGTATGCACTGAATGCTCTGGGCAGATACACGGGCACTGCCGGAGACTCACTTCGATCGCACCGCAAGATGAAGTTCTCCACCTACGATCGGGACAACGATCAGGAGTTCACCAAGAACTGTGCCTTCTACTATCTGGGAGGATGGTGGTACAATGCCTGCGTGGATAGGTACGTAAGGTGCACTTTTTTATATGTCTGTATACGATCTGATATTTACGATCTCACGAAGCAATCTAAATGGCCAATATGTCCAGGGGGGCAAGTACGAGGAGAAAATGTTCGCCCGAGGCATGTGCTGGCGCGCGTGGCGTGGCCACAACTACGGCTATAAGGTTACCCAAATGATGATAAGACCCAAGTGCCGAAATATTCCAAAGCCATGACTCACGCGTCAGACATCAGAGGAGGTGGAGGTTCTCAATGAATAAAATATTTTATTTTCATTATGGCTTGAAGATCAGTGTGGAACGAGTCGTAAACAATTTTTCATGTACTCTCGACTCGATTAATATGCGAAATGTGTTTCCATTGAATCATCAATCGCTGATGCGAATTTGCTGAGAATATAAATCAGAGTCTGATATAGTATATCATCATTGAAATCATGGCCTGGCATATAGTTTCCCCAACTTCCTGGTAGATTATCGCCACGAGGGAAACTTGACCTACGATTCGGAATGCAATTGATAAGGAAATCTATTGCAGATCGTTTTGCAAATGTTATAGAACACCGATCTCTCCAGTCTAATAGATTGGTGGAACCCAGTCGGAGAGGACTAGATCATGGAGCTGTGCTGGATTTGTATTTCAATATTGAGTGTGGGCTTCCACTTTTCCGATGGCAGTCGGAGTAATTTGGAAGTTGCTTTGGAGAAAGCAGAGGGGCTGCTTTCCAGCTTAAGAACCCAAATTGAGGAGCTCAAGCAGATCTATGGAGAGGTAGTGACACAGAATAAGCTTAAGGAGGGTGAGTAGAAGGCCTCCATTACAGGAAATCATTCACTGATCAGATCTCTCTTCTCCTATTAGCTGTGGCCTATCCCTCATCCTGCCTGGCTACCTCCACTAACGCGAACGGAGTCCACACATTACAAGTGCCCGGACTGGAGCCCTTTCCCGTCTTCTGCGACACTCGCCTGGCGGGATCAGGCTGGACAGTGATCCAGCGGCGCCAAGACGGCAGTGAGAATTTCTACCGCAGTTGGTCGGAGTATGCCCAAGGATTTGGCAACCTCAGCGGGGAGTTCTTCATGGGCATGGAGCGACTGCACTTCCTCACAGCGGCCGAGCCCTACGAGCTGTACGTCCACTTGGAGGACTTCTATGGCGGAACCCGCTACGCCCAGTACGAAGACTTTGTCATTGGCAATGCCTCCGCCTCATACCCGCTTGCGGTTCTCGGCAAGTACTCGGGGGATGCCGGCGATTCGTTGAGCTACCAAAGGGGGATGCCCTTCTCGACCTTCGACCACGATGTTCTGGGCCATGGGTGCGCCATGACCTACGTGGGGGCCTGGTGGTACAACGAGTGTCAACTCAGGTGAGGAATCTCTCTGTAGACTCTTCTTTGGAGACTGATTTGCATTGGTTCCATTGGGTTTCAGCAACCTCAACGGACAGTACGTGGATGGGGGCAGGTACGAGGCGAAGCTCTCGGGCCGCGGCATCTGCTGGATGACCTGGATGGGCTACGACTATGGCTATAAGGTCAGTCAGATGATGATACGGCCAAAGTGCTCCAATAGCATACAAAGGCAGAGGCAGAGCAGGCAGAGCCTCAATTTCAATTGAATTTCATTTGCAATCGGATCGTTGAATCGTTATATTTGGTTGATAAACTTTATCACCGTTTACGCTTTTATTTACATTTTGATAGGTTTTCACTGTTGCTTTTTGGTTTTGTTTTGTTTGTTTGTTTTTTTCGGGTTTTCGCACACACAAGCGCAAAAAACAAAATTATTTCTTTCGATTTGAGTGAAACGCGCGTTGCTCTCCGCTCGCAATTTGAATTCGAAATGAAGAACTTCAACGGCTGCGCATGCGATGCCCCCAACTTGGGGCACCAAGCATAGCCAGAGAGAGGGAGAGGACACTTTTGTCCAAGGTGTGTATTAGTACAGGGTGAGACATGCCCAGAGAACGCGCTCGCCATAAACAGTTGCACTGAACATTCTGCTGAACAGTCGCCGCGGGAGAGCGAGTGCCCTGGAATGCCTCCCTCTCCACTGCGGTATAACTGTGAGTGTGACAAAAACGAAGAAGTCGAGTGTGAGCGATAGATAAACTGAGCGAAGAGAGCGTGTGTGTGTACAATTATAAAATTAGCTGTTAAGGTCGCTGAGGACAGCCAGCTGTGACGTCACAATTAACCAATCAAGTTTTGCGATATGCAAAACCGCAGGCCCCAACAAAGCCAGTGACAAACGCACGCACACATGCAAGATAGGGACAGAGACAAACGCATACACTCAAGATTGGGAGAGGGAGACATGAAGAAGACAGGCAGACAAAGAGAAGAGAAACTGCGATTGCAGCCAGCACCTGTCATCAACGTTGTAAACCGATGATCTCCACCAGATGGGAGGATGAGAGAATGAGAAAGAGACGCAGATAAAGAAGAAGCAACAAAAACGCTTAACCGTAAGCTTAGCCTTGTGCGTGAGTGTGAGTGGAAACGTGCGAAATATTTTGTAGTCTCAACTCATCAAAGTGGCACAGTGGGACAGGCCTAGTGAAAACTAACCATCCCATGATTGCATGATCCCCCATCATGCCACTGTGTATGATTCACTGCGATTGATTCACCCAGACGGATTGCCGCTTAATTGAACAGCTGCTGACGCTGCTGTGTCTGGAAAATGGCTCCCAGTACCCGGAGGAACCGTTGTCCGTATCTGCGGGATGGTGGTGGGCACGAGAATGATTTCATTCCAGACGAAGTTCTTTTACTCATTTGAATTCGGCTTAACCCGTTTGCTCGGCAAGTTTGTATGATTTATTATGATATCCAGTGTACACTTACATACGAGTATGTATGTCTGTTTGATGGACTCCCCTTTGGGTAGACATTCCCATCAATGGATTTCCTTATGGAAGATGTTTGGTTATCAAAACCCACTCAAACTTGATCAAATATTAACTCAAACGATGCATGACTCATGGGCGAGAGCGAGTTCGCTGGAAATTAAAGGTATTATACCCCAGGTATTTCTACAGTTTCTCTATCTTATCTTTATCGCGACGGGCATTGCTTTTTGGATGGGTGGGTGGTGGCGGGGTCTCGGACGGTAATAGAATTTGGCCAATTACGAGACATGGGAACATTTGCAAAAAGCTACTACTAATGTACTAATGTATGTATGTTGCTATAATATTCAATGACAGCAAAACGATTGATTCGGTTTCTCTTGAGGCATTTCTCTGCTGATAGTGTGCTCGAGCATGAGTCACTCCACTAACAGTCTCCCACTTTCTTCCTAAACGTTCCCATAAAAAATGTGATAATTTGAGGTCCGTTTTAGCTCCTGCTCCTCATCCTTGCGCTACAATTTGGCACACATTCAATTAACGTTTTCGAGGTGTGTCTTCCGGGTGGGTCTCCATCCCCATACCCATCCCCATTCCCATCCCCATCCCCATCCGAGAATGCTTCGGATTGCCCCAATAAACTGTCATCAAGTTAATTGCCCCAAATGTCCGTATAAACAAGGGCGTGTGTGTCTGCTATGTTCCATGCCCCGATCTCAAGCGGGGTAAGATGGACATCGAATCAAATTGAATCAAATCGCGGGAATCATCACCATTCCGTTCTTTCCGGCACGCACACACAAAAGCCGACAAATTGCCGTCGGACCGGACTGTCAAAATGTATATCCATTATGTAAGTCAAATATTGTGTGTAAAATGCTTAACACGCCTATTGGAAATACTACGCTGTAAGACAATATCCAGACACCCAAACGTTGCGTAAGTTGCACAGGCCACAGGCCCTCCCCCACCCTTCCATACCAACCGCAAGGTGTCCCCTCAATCCGATACGATCCAAACCAAACCAAAGCAGAGCAAAACAAAAGCAGAGCAGGGCGAAGAAGCATAATCAAATGTGTGGCAACAACGCTTAGGGGACAGTTTAGTCAACTCCCAGGTTCTCTTAATGATGGCAATTTGTTGAGGTTTTTTATTGTGTTTTCCTCTTTTATTTCTCTTCTCTTCTTTCGCTGTTCCTTCTTTTGGCATATCGTTTTGTTTACTCGACAATTTCCGCAAAGTTTCTTTGGTGTTTTCATGGCGGTTTTTATGAATGGTTTCCAAATTAGATATTCCACGCTGAATCACTATTGTTAAAAAAAGAATCGCTGGTTTTTAGGGGAACTACAAAGAGTTGAGATCATCTTCACCGTACGTATCCTTCAGGATCCTGCCCCATTTTCACTAGAATCCATCTTTTATTGTGATTCATCTTGCATCTTATGGTCCATATCTAATCTAACGTTTCCTTTCACTTAATTTGGTCAGACAGGCAGCTCTGAATCAGAGTCTGAGATGCAAATGTTAATTTCCCTGTGATTCATGCCGGTGCTGTTCTGAGCGATTTGTGGGGAATAAAACCAGTTGCATAATCCACACCATATACATTCATTTATACGGATTTATATATGCATGTACACAAGAGTATGCACAGACTTTCGCTTTCAATTTCTTTTTTTTCTTCTGTCGCTTTAGCTGCGGCTGCCTCAAGTTCCAATTACACAGCCAAAACCGCTGGACTAACAATTAACATTTACATTTCAATTGCAAGTCGTGCAGCAAGTTATGTGGCTTTGATCATCGTGGCTCTTGGCAGAGGGGGACGGGGCGGAAGATGGGCGATACGGGCGGTACTGGTCAGCATTTCATTGAAATTCCAAGAGCAACGCCACATGATAATAATATGTGATCGCAGTGCAAAGCACTTCCAGCCGAAAACGCAAAGACAACACGCTCCACACACTAAAACCGAACGAACGAGAGCCATTTCTTATGCCGAATATTTTTAGGGATTTTGTTTACCATTTTGTGAGAGATCGCGTATACAGTAGAGAGGGCAGTTTGACGTAGAAACATTCTGTTGAACAAATTATTTAAAAAGATGATTCAGAATTCGGATGGAAGTCTCTTTCATGGATTCTTCAAGATTATACATATTTCGAAGTAGAGCTGCCAGAGTCGGATTCATAGAGCATCAACCTTCCGGCAACCTTGGGTCGCTTGCAGTTCAAAGTACATTCCGTACATACATGGATGTGACACATAAATACTTCTAAACGCTGGGTTTTGAATTACTTCTGATCTAAGCGTTTCTCCGGGCATCATTTTGCATGCATTACAAAATGAAAGCCTCGGCCCGTCCTCTACTGCTACTCGTCCGTCGTCCCTCTCTTTATACTTTTACCTCCCTCTGTATTTACCTGGCTGCAGCTCTTCAGTAACCCCATACACCTATTGGTAAGAGTGTGATGGCGAAAGGCGTAATACGAGAAAAGCAACAGTTGGACACCGAAGCGTTTGATACTCTTGCAAATCGATCGTTTCTATTTTAGCTGTGCTTTTTCCTCTGCCTTGAAAGTGTCTCCTAAAAATCGTAGTACCCTTTCCAAGGGTATAAAAAAACACAGTCAGATAAACATTGCATTGTTGCACTTGTTGTTGCTGCTGCTGCTGCTGCTGGGGATGAGGTTTATTAAAATGCGGTTTTCAGCCCCGTCGCACAATGCTTAAATAACTAACGCAAACACATGACAATGAGGGGGGGAGAGGAGAGCCATGCAAAGTGAAGCCGAAACAACAACGCCACTCAATGACAACAACGGTGTTGGGTTCGGCACTTTGCATACAGTCACTCACACATACACATACGCATGTGACAACAACAATAATGATGTAAACCAACTCAAACACGAGCCGTGAGTGAGTCATCAATACCCCCCACACGCTCCGAGTCGCGTTGAGGAAGCGAAAGGCCGACTGCTCTCTCAGCATTAAGGAATTGCAGCTAAAGTGAGGCCACGATAAAAAAATCGTTATGGAAAGGCGGGACGGACTCTTTATGTCCCTTGCGGCCGAGTCTCCACTGTACTTTTACGATTCACTTCCAGGTTGCACAAGGAAGTATTCCGCATAAATCAGAGAATCAACAAGAGAGAAAATATACGAGCATAACCGTTTCAGCTACGTGCCAATCAAACTTCAATGTGGGGGCAATGAGTGATGCAGTCCACAAAACATGCACGGCAACAACCACATTTTGCTGACAAATGGCCGCCCGCAAGGCTGCCAAGTGCTCTCTCGGTCAGGCAGTACTCCCGTCTGCCCCCCACCTTACGATCTATTCATGTGTCATTCCAGCAGCACTCGATATGCATGTATGCACCTTTTTATGCTCTGGCCGTGCTATGTGTATGTGCAGTGGGGGGATAATGGGCTCAACAATAGACCGGCAGTCTCCTGTCCTGCCCTACCCTACGCCAATGACATTGAACTCTCGTCTGAGAGTGACGGAGAGGAGACGGCTGGTGCTAGTGCTTGTGGGGCCTTTTGAGACTCTTTCCTGCAATTTGTATACAATTATTATACAGCCGCAAAGTGAACTCGGGGCCTTTCTGCTCTGTGGAAGTACTTCTGGAACCTCTCCCTTAAACCCTTTAGTTATCATCAGATTGAGCGTTACTCTGACAAATCCGAATCGCAACTATTGCAAAGAGTGGAAATCCACCCTTAAATGCATATAGTTTCGCGGCAGAGGAAGGCAATGTACTCTTTGTAGGTCAGTGATGGGGCTGCTTGGGGCTGGGGTGTGGAAAGCCTGGGTATGCCTGGTTCTGGTTGCAGACGCCGCCGCTTTCGTCATGCGTCGCATGCCAGGCGTTTTACTTAATGTGATTAAAACGAAGCGACAGACAGCCAACAAACGCGTAAAGTGCAGTCGGTGATAAAAGAAAAATCAAAGAACCTAAAGTTTGTTGCACCCTTACGTTTAAAACGTGTAAAAACGTTTTCCACGTTCTTTTGCACTCGGCCAATCCTAACGGAAAACTACAACTTGCAGTTAAATATAGGCGCATATAATTGACTAGGTGCCATTTGGTTATAGGGCTATAAGATAAGGAACCCTCTGGTTCCTCCTAACCAGCATTCCATAATTTATGATATCAGAGAGATAAGCTTTATCAATAACTCTTCAATTCGCAAATACAGCTGCTCTGCATCGTATGAGAGTGTGAGAGTGTGTGCAAAGAACGGGTTAAATTTTACAAACAAACTTACCTTGAAGCGGGTTTCGGGTTTGAGTTGTTGCTGCTTTTGAGTGAAATTCTCGTCCGATTAATTATTTATACCCTTTATTTGCTGTTTGGTCGTTTCGGCTGATTGTCGGTGATTTAATATTAGTTAATTCTATGACAAAGAGGCAAGGGAAATTAAAAATACAGGCAGGTTCCAAAACAGTTCCCCAGAAGGCGCGGGCTTCGTATTTACGCAAGAATTTGCTGTTTTTTTGTGCAAAAAAAACGCGAAAGGGGCAACAGTGTAGTGTTGTATAAAAAAGGGCCGAAAATAATTACATTTAATAACAAATTTTACTATTTTTTTGTGGTTTTACACAAACACACGCACACTACACCAGAACTCTCACTCACATCACGCACACAACCGCACAAAGAGCAATCAGCCCCTAGATGTGTATTATTAATTTCTTTCCCTCTGCTCCTTTTTCAGCACATCTCGTTATGATTATTCACTTTGTGAGGTCCTAGCGTTGCAACATTTCTTATAGTCTGCGAATTTATGGTTTTCGAGAAAACAACAAAATGTACGTGCTGCAAGTTGGCTGCTAGAGATGGACTGTTGCAAATGTAAACGCGCTTCGCTGTGACTGTCACCTATCGACATATCGGTGAATATGATTTCCGATTAACACATTATGGTCAGGGATATTTAATATTCCCACGAAATTTAATTTCACCTGTTTAAAAAGAGCGGGGTTAGGTGGGTTAAGTATTTTTTGATGCCAAAATTGAGCAAAAGTAATTTATTTTATCATATCATATATACTGGTATTTTTGAACGTCTTCCTGGTATATAATGGTATTTTTTGACTTGGTCACTTTATTCGTTCGTGAGCAAATCCTGGTGATTTTTCAAAATTGGCTCTCTTTTCCGAGGCGAAGAGTATATACATATATATACATATATGTATATAAATTGTTGCGCAAAATAAATTTGATTTGTATGGGAAAAATTGCATCAACATGGGGAAATGAATTAGCAGCATTGTTGTGCAACTTTGGCACGGAATGAGAAACAATCTGCATACCTTGGGAAAATAGATATTATAGAATAGAGATATTGTTTGAAACTTCAGGTTCCAATGAGTGCAGAAACTACTCAGTCTCTGTTTTAAAGATATTAACGAAATTTTGCAGCGTACCAATAATAGGTATCAGAACCGGGATAAATATATTTATAAAACTCAAAACATATGCATTAATAGGTAAAAAACATCTCAATCTAAGAAAAATGCAATATTAATGTTTCTAAGTAGCAACAGTAACAACAAATTGAACATGAATTAAAGGAAAAAGGGTATACAAAAATCCATACGCACATTAGAAACTTGGTTGCCCAGCAACAATGACGTCACAGACGTCATGCTTTGGCCGTTTTTGTTTGAACCTTTTTATGTAAGCAATGCAATAAAAAGGACTTCTGAAAACTAGCCAATCTTGTAGGAAATTGATTTATCTATCGGATATAATTATTTGTTTAGGGCTGTGAGGTTTAACTAGCTAGAAATATTAAACTGAATATCAAAATCATGGAATACGATTTCAATCAATAAAATAGAACGTTATCCCATTGTCGACCAAGGGGGTATTTAATATTTCCATGAAATTTATGTAACTAACATATTATACGCATTACAGGTGAAAGATATCGGTGGTCATTTTTGTTTTGTAAGTAAAGAGGAGGATGGAGCTACAAGGAGCCTTTACAAACAGTATTATTTTCCGCGGTTTAACAAAGCGTGCTCAAATTTTTAAATTCAGGGTCTTCAGTGGGTTAAGTCTCGTTTGATCAAAGAAGTAACAATTTTGAGCGTCGGTCTGTCTTGTTGAAAATCTGCAAAATAAATGTAAAAAATATGGGTACTAACATAGAGCTGCAATACAAGCTATTAAATGCCGAACTCATGGCCCATGTACAGAAGCTGCGGGTGGAGGTGGGGGAGTACAGAAAGCTGGTCGTCAACCTGCAATTGGAGCTGTTGGAGGAGCGAGAGTCCCGCATCCTGGAAATGGACCACAAAAAGCGGCAGCTGAAGTACGCCATCAGTGGCATGATAAAGGACTGGGACCTGGGCGAGGATATCTCTGTAGGCTCTGCACAGACGCCGCAGGAAGAATATAAATCGCCTCCAGCCAGTCGACGGTCCAACGCCAAGGAAATTTGTAATGAAATGCGTCGTCTCAGCGACATGACCCGATCTTCAAGGACTTGCAGTAGTCCTACTGGGACTTCTCCCAGTAGTCGCAGCAGCAGGACCCTCCGGGGCAGTAGTAGGAGTAGCAGCGGTATCGTAACAACCACAGATGTAAATGCAACCACAGTCCCAGAGGAGACAGAAAGACTGGTAATTAGACAACCACTCCCCTTGCGGATTTATGTTAATAATATGTTTACTTGTAGAACATCGATTGCCCAGCCACGCCACGGCCAAGACGCATTGCTGAAATGACCTCGGCCCTGGACGACACTGACGAGGACTCTCCCACCATTGCAGATGTAGTGGACTCTCCCACATGTGTGGATGACGAAAAGCTGGCTCAAAATGACCAGGCTGCCAGCCTCTTCTCCATCTTAGAGGAATCAGACACCGCGGACGCCTCGGATAACTCCTCCACCAGCTCTACGTCAGTGGAGATCCTCGACACAACTGAGACTCCAACACGCATTTCAGCTGGGCGGGGACGAGTCCTTCGCGAGCTCTGTGGAAATGTGGCCAAAGAGACGCCCTTTTCAACCTGTGGAAACCCAGGAAAGGCTGCCTTAACCATTTCCTGCCCAGAGGAGGACAGCAGTCAGGAGCTGAGCGTGCAGCTGCTGCGTCAGCACCTTTCGCCCATGCCCATGAATATTTCCATTGCCTCGCCACGCCAAAGCATGTTCAATGGCATTTGCTGTGAATCCGGCAGCACCAGCACACCGCATTCCTTCCCGGTTGTGCAGGAAAGGGGTGGGGGCAGGACACGAACCCGCTTGGACATACCTCAAGAGACGGTCAATGTGGACAGGCTCAGGAAAAGACTCCAAAGCACCAAGGTATCGCTCAGTCCGAGCCAAAACAGTGTCGAAGAAGATCAGTGCAGCACCAGCACACCGCATTTCTCCCCGGTCGACCAGAGAGGTGGCAGGGGTAGGCCACGAACCCACTTTGACATACCTCAGGATTCGGTCAATGTGAACAGGCTCAGGAAAAGACTCGAAAGCACCAACGACTCGCTCAGTCCGAGCCAAGACAGTATCGAAGAAGATCAGTGCATTGCTAGTTGCAGCACCAAAGGGCGCCCGAGTCGCAAGTGTCGTCCCACCTCGTTGAAGGAGCCAAAATTAAATACAAAAATGCGCAACGAGTCCCTGTCTAAGTCGAAGTCATAGATTTATTCTTTCTTCTTTTTAAATGTTTGTTCGTAGGGTATATTTTTGTAATAAATTATATTGTTCAGAAAGTAATGTATCTAGATCGATTAGAAATGGATTTGCTTCGAGTCTTTGTATGTATAGAGGAATGCTTTGTGGTTTCCCATCAAAACTTGATTTATTCGGAAACACATGTACAAAACGGATTGGGATAGAATGGACATCTAAATACGATAATATATAGTATAGTATATTGGTTTACGTAGGCCGACAATAATTGCACTTTGAGAGCACCATTCACATCAGACCACCTCGAATTTGCCCAGACAACAGTTGAGGTGATCCACATGATGGCCGGAGAGGACAGTCGTTGGCTGCTCGGTGTTCTCCTTGATCTCGCTGATGATGTTTTGAATCTTGTTCAGAATCTGCTGCGAGTTTTCCCCATTGCTGTTTTCGTTGGAGGGAGTCTGTGTCCGAGGCATCTCCTGTTCGCTCGGATAGTGCTGAAGTGCTGCTGGTTGCGGCTGCCCTTGGACTTGGTCGGCGGGCAACTCCACTCCCAGGCTGGCCACCAGCTTGTTGAGCGCTTCGATCTTCTCCCGCAGCTGCTCGCGCTCATCCTGCAGCAGACGCATTTGCGTGGCCTTCTCGTACTCGCGCTGCTTTAGCATTCGTCGCTGGGTCTGATACAGGGCTATGTACTCGCCAATCGTCTCTGTCTCGCCCTGCAGCTGGAGCACCAGATGCTCTAGGCTGTGCTTCTCCTCGGTCAGATCGGCCACTTGGCTAATCAGTGTGGTGAAACGCGCCTGTAGCCTCTCCACGGCCTCGGCGGTGGGCAGAAATCCAGGTGACAATTGGTGATGCTCCTGATGCGCATGATCAAGTGAATGGCCATCTGAATGATCATTGGGATCGTGTTCGTGCGAATGATCATGTGAATGGTGATCGTGATCATGGGGCTCCTTAGTTTCGCTCTCTTCTGGCTCTCCAGTTTCATCAGCCTGATGTCCTGACTGGCTATGGTAAGCCTTGACCTGCGAAATACACGTTCTTTGGATGACTAGTCCATGGATAATTGGGCCATCAACCCACCTCATAGTGCTGCAGGCGATCCAGTTGCTGCTTCTGCATCAGCTGCTGGCGCTGGAGCTCCACATTCTCGTGCGAGAGACGGATCATCTCTTCGTCCTTGAACTTGAAGCGCTCCTCGTTGGCCAGCAGCTTCTGCTCCATGCTGTCGTAATTGTGTCGAATCTCCCGATTGGCAAACTCCTCAGCATCCAGGCGGATGACCAGCTCAGCCTTGTCGTTTGTTAGCTGGACAAACTTTTGCTCCAGTTCGTCCAACTGTTGCTTCATCTCCACATTCTGGGTGAGGGCGCGCGAGGCGGCTACCTTGTCCGATTCCATGGTGGCCAGGAGTTTGGTCTGATCCGGCTGCTCAGCCTGCAGGCGATCAAGCTGCTGCTCCAGCTCAGCGATTGCTGCTTCCTTCACATGCAGCTGATCGTCCTGGGACTTGATCTTCAACTGGAACTCGTGTCGCTCAAAGTCGAAGTCACTGAGGCGCTCTTTGAGGGCAGCCAACTCGGCTGTTAAAGCAGTCTGCAGACGAAATGAGGAACTGTGATATATGATTTTATAATACCTTTTTATATTTTTTGGTTACCTGATCGATTTGCGGCTCTGCAGGCACCTGGGGCTGGCTGGCCTCCTTGAACTGCGCCTGCAGGCTCAGATTCTTTTGAATTTCACGCTCCAGACCACTTACGTGCTCCACCAGCTGCCGCTCCCGTTCCCTCAGCTCGAGCAACTCCTCCGTCAGCTCAGAGTTCTTTTCGTTGAGCTTGGCTATCTCACTGCTCTGGTGCTGGACATAGTTCTGGTACTGGCTAGCGGCCTGCTCCTTGTCTTGCGTCAACTGGCCCACCATGGCCTGCAGGTCCCTGATCTGCTGTTCGTACATGTATTGGGTCTGGGTGAGGGACTCCACGCGGTTGTCGGCATTGATGTTCGACTCGTCGGAGAGCTGACGCAGCTTCAGCTGTGCCATCTCCAGTTCGTTCGACTTCTCGGCCAGCTGCCCCTGTAGTTCATCTTGTCGGAGGTTCAGCTGTTTTAACTGTGCCTCCATTTCGAGAAGATGCGACTGCTGGTCCTCGATTTGTGCTTGCGATTGGGCCAACTTGTGCTGGAGCTGTGCATTGTGCTGGCGCTGCTGTTCCACACCCACCTGCTGCCCGTGACAGTGCTGCTGCAGTTGCTCCAGGCGCAGTCTGGTCTGGCCTTGCTCGGTGCGCAGCTCCTCGAGTTCCAGTTGGCGCTCGCGGCAGGCGAGACGTGCTCTGGTCAGCTCGGCGTTCAGCTGGGCCTTCTCCGCAACAATGACCTGAATGGCCTGGAGATTGGATTCATTGGAGGCACAATTCTGGGCGAATACGGGCGAGTCCGGTTCCGGCTGCGCAAAGAACGCGGCTGCGGTTGGCATGACTGCCAGGGGAGCAGTCTCCTCCTCCGCCTGCTGCTCGACATGCAGTGTGTTGGCACCTCCCCCATTTTCATTCACATTCACCTCGCTGTCGGAACGCTCGGACAAGTTGCTGGCGATGCTGACGGTGGAGGAGTGGGTGCTCGAGGGCACTTGCTCCTCTCCTCCGGCATGGTTGTTGTTGCGCTGCTGGTACTCCTTCAGCTGTGGCAATATTGCATCAAACAAAATCAATACGAAACTTATGTTGTCCACGTCACAAACGCCGATAAATATATTTTCCTACCTTCTTTCTGGCTGCCGCCAGTTTCTGCGCCTTGGCATCCTGTGTGTCATCTAACATGGCCAATGGGGGCAGCTGCGGCAGCTTTGCTTTTCCGCTGATCACCGAATTTTATGCCCCAAACCCAAAAATTGTACAAAAAACAAGAGAACAATTTTTAGATGTTGATAATAGCGCTGTATGTCATTAGACTTTGCGAGCTGACTAGCTGGAAAAACAGAGATGGGCTTATGGGAAATGCCTGCAGTCAGAGCGAGAGAACCATAGCAGAGGAGCTAGTGGTGTAAGTCCGTCGATGGTAAAACCGATAGGTAGTATCGATGGTTGGATGGTAGTGCCAGCCGATTTCGCCGCCGATTTGGAATTTGAATGCATAACGAAATCACATCGCCGCCGAATCGGACGGAAGCAAGAAAAATGAATTGTATTCCGTGGCTTATCAACGCTGCTCTGGGGCTCTGGCTCTGCCTGTGCCTGGCACTGCCCGCCCACACGGTAGCCAGCCGATATAACATAAGCTTTGCACAGCTGGATACGTGCGACAGCTATACGATCACGGAGGCGGGCTATGCCTACCGGGACTTTTTTATGGTCCACACGCTGGACAACAACCAGATCAAGGGCAAGGAGCGCCTGCACTTGAAGTTCTATGTGCTCACCAGCATGGATGCCCATATCTTGCTCTCGGTGACGAACAGACTACGTCCCAATGACCGCGTGTACGAGATTGGTATGTCAAGGTTACACAGTCTCTAGGACAGGCAATGCTGATATCTTTCCCACTATCTGTTGCAGTGATAGGAGCCGGCGGAAATACGTTTTCCGCCATCCGCACGGCCCTGGGCTTGCGACGTGTATCCACGAATCAAGATCGGAATTTATTATCTGTGTTCGAGCCGACGCCAATAGAGATTGTGCAAACCCAGGGTGAGTCTCGGCTCTGCATATCCGAAGTTCTTATCTCAGGCGTCACTTCCTCTAATTCTCGCCCCTCCCTCCACAGATGCTGAGCTGTTTGTTTACATACCCGGATTCAAAACGGAGCCACTCCTACAGTTCATGGACGCCTCGGCCCTGACCATAAACTACATAAGCTTCAGCTCCTTCGGTACCAACACGGCGCGTTGGTTCTACGACTGCTCATTCGATGGGTTCGGTAAGGTCCTGGGGGAGATAGGCTGCCATTGTTCCTTTTTTGATTGCACTTCATTGCAGACAAGGAAATATCGAAGGAGACGCCTGCGCTGTCGTTGGAGCAGAAGCTGCTGGCGGATCTCATATCCAAGGGCGAGAATGCGACTGTCCCGGTGAACCTAACATCGATTGCGTTCCATTTTCAAGCGCGTTCTATCGCCTACGAGCAGGCAAATTCCTTGCTCAACACCCGATTGCATCTGATGATGGTAAGCAGGGAAATTCCAGCTAGTCCCATCGATCTACCTACCTGTCTCCCTACAGCACTGGCAGGACAATCGCCTGCGCTGGGATCCCGAGGAGTACGGCCAAGTGAAAGCCTTCGAGCATCCCCGACTGAAGATCTGGACGCCGCAGCTTACAGTGCTGAATGGAGCTATGGACTCCCTGGGCGAGGCGCTCAAGACCTACGAGCTGCGTGTCTTTTCGGACGGCAATGTCACCCTGTATGCCAGCAACCTGGAGCTGTCCAGCTGGTGCGTGGACAGCGCACGCAACTGGCCGAGAGAGCGCATCGAGTGCGACGTGGAGCTTGGCGTGCTTAGACAGCCAAGTCAGAGCAACATAATCTTAAAATACGAACGAGAGCGCAGTCCGATCGCACCCAATGAGCATGTGAACACGCCATCGGGCTGGACAATTTTCGGCATATCGGTGGTGAATCTGGGGAACGACACGGCCAGTCGATATTCAGACCAAGGCATGCTCCAGACGATGACTGGCGATGTGGCCATTGAGTTTATGCTGCAGCGGAACAGCTCCTTCTATATGACGGTCTTCTATGTGCCCCTGATTGGTATGGACAATTCTTCTGTTATAGAATTAAGTTACCTACATCACTTCTTGTTCCGTTGCAGCCTGCGAGATCTTCATTATCCTATCGTTTGTGCTTCGCTCCTCCCGACGCAGTGCTCTCATACTCATTGCCCTTCTCATAGTTGCCTGGGGTCTGATGTACATCACGCGCCACGCCTCTCCGCACTATGTGCCCGCCTTGAGTAAGCCGATTATCTCTCCAGATTCTATCAGATATCAGGGACTCACAGCTGGTTCTCTCTCGCTCTTCTAGTGTCGGGCTACAAGACCATAATGATTGTCAGCTGCTATTGCTATGTCCTGCACATCTGCATCATGTGGCTGGAGCTCTATCCGCCCAGGGCCAAGGCTCCCGCATTCCTAACATCCCTGATCAATTCGAAACTTCTGCGCTGTGTCCTGGGAATGCGCTTTGCGGATGTAAGTTGATCAAATCAGCTCATGTTCATCCAAGAGATCTGATCTGCATAATCTTGATTCTGTTCTTTCAGTCGAACGTGTACTGTGACATTCAGGAGAAGCCCTGGCCCCATTTGGCCAAGATGCTGAACAGCCTGAGCTTCATTGGCGTGTGCGTTGCGTTCGCGGTGATGGATGTGACGAGCGGCATTTGAAAAATCGAATGGTTTTCCTTTATTTGCAGTGAGAGATAAGTAATGGGCCTTAAATAAATACAAAATATTCAGAGAGCAAGACAGATCCGGGTTGGTTCGGTTCGGTTTGGTTTGGTTTGGATAGAAAGAAGGATTTCGACTACTTTTGGACTGTGGGAAATACTAAAGGAAGAAGGAAGAACGTGCCTCGGCTGCGGCAGCTCCTTGCCTCACAACTCGCTTCTCGACCTGATCCGCGTCCATCCCCATCCCCATCCCCTGATGGAGCTTAGTGATAACCGTAGTGGCCATCATAGCCACCGCCGTACGACTTCAGGAGTGTGGGTGCGGCATAGCTGATTGCGGGGGCGGCGTAGGATTTGACCACGGCAGGTGCGGCATAGCTGATGGCCGGAGCAGGTGCGGCATAGCTGATGGCCGGAGCATGGGCCGCATAGCTGTAGGATGGAGCCGGAGCCGCATAGCTGATGGCGGGAGCGGCATACGACTTTACGACGGCGGGCGCCGCATAGCTGATGGCCGGAGCGGCGTAAGACTTGACCAGGGCAGGTGCGGCATAGCTGATGGCGGGAGCGGCGTATGATTTAACGATGGGCGTGGCATGGGAAACAACCTGTGGATCGGCATAAGTATTAGTTGGATCTGCAACAGGCTCTGTCAAAAGTCCGTACCGAACTGAAGTGCGAGTAGCTGGTGGCCGGTGCGTAGGACTTGACAGCCACCGGGGCAGCCACTGCCACAGGAGCCGCATACGACTTGACCACAGTGGGAGCATAGCTGATGGCTGGGGCATGTTCCGCATAGCTGTAGGACGGAGCCGGAGCCGCATAGCTGATGGCCGGAGCAGCGTAGGATTTCACGACGGTGGGTGCTGCATAGCTGATGGCCGGTGCGTAGGATTTGATGACTGGAGCCGCAGCCGCATAGCTGATTGCGGGGGCAGCATGTCCGTAGCTGATGGCCGGTGCTGTGTGTCCCAGTCCATAGTCAAGTAGTCCGGGGGCGGCACTCGCCACAGCCAGCAGGGTGGTGGTAAGGATCTGGCAGGTGACGGAGGGTTCTATAAGTATCCCGACGATCCTGGCGATCCTGCTGCTCGACTCACCAGAAGTTTCATGTCTGCTTGGCTTTGATTCGCTTGGCTTCGAGGGAGAACTGCAACTGTAAATGGATTGCGTGCATTGCGTTACTTTTATAGTGCACACCGACCCGATCCGATCCGATCCGATCCACGCACTCTTAACGGACAGAGCGGCGAGCGGACATAGCGGACGGTGCGGACAGATGGCTTGACTAGATAGCCAAACGATTTCGATTTCGATCTGAGCTGAGCTGAGCGTCAGACAAAACAGTCAACAAAGCGGGCCAACAGCACCAATTTGTGAAGTATCTGGCTGAAGTGGACGATGCCTGAATGCAGTTCTCGTGGATGTTGTTGCTGGGGCAAGCAGTCGCGGCTTCGGCTGCGGCTGCGGCGGCGGCTGTGCCTCGATGAAGCTCAGATCTGATGACGCAACTCAGATCTGGCAAGGCAGACCACTTGCCGGCAAAGGCTTCGCTGCGCTGCGCTGTGGCAGGAAAGGCAGGTCTGGAGATGGAGATGGATTTCCACTGGGGAGTTTCGAATTAGAAAGCCTCCGCTAATTGAATTCGTTGATTAACTCCCCAATTTGGATGTCCAGCCCCTCGGCACCCCATCTAATCAGTCCGAGTCCGAGTCTGAGTCTGAGTCCGGGCCAGACCCCACCCAACCTTGCCACTGCCACTAACAACTTAATTAGCCGTTGGAGAATGTCGTCTAATTGTTCTCGTAACAATTCTCGACCCGGCTGGTGCTGGCTGCTGCGATCGCCTGGTGTGGCTCGAAAATTCTCCCCAAATTGCATAATGGCCGCTTGCCAAATCGAACATTCAACAATCCCAGGCTTCATATTTATCTTTATCGTGCCTCGAATGCCGCAGCGTGCCACATTTGACCATATTTGATGGCCATAACAGATGTCTGCGGCCACGCCACCTCACACAGTCGCAGTCGCAGTCGGAGTCGAAGTCGGAGTCGGAGTCGAGGACACTTATAGCTAGGAATCATTGCACTTGCCCCCTTCTCCCACTGCAATCTCTGCGCAGCATCTGGCTGTTCGTGGGACTTTTTATTTCATTTATGATTAACCCCTTGGGGGGGCGAGGGTATAAATTGATGACATGCTGCGATTACTACATAAAATATTTATTTATTCATCCAAAAAGATCATTCATGAGAGCCAAACAAATTGTTAGATTATCTGAGGAAAAACGTGAATTTATACTCGAATGATGGGGAAGCAAAACTCCTGCATAGAATTGATTGATAGCAAACAGTTTTTTTATTTTTTATTTAAAAACGTATTAAGTCCTGTGGGTATACGAAGTTGCGAATGAAGGTTAAGCAAGCTGGGAGTATTAATGATTTCCTAATATTATTTCTGGAATTTCCTCTCTCCAACAAGGGAAAGGATTCAATGTATGTACCATAGGGTTAAGTTCCCGAAATTTGCCACAATTCCACCGATCCACCGATGCTGTCCATCTCATATATCAGCTTGCAACACTTTGGCTGAGGCCTCCTCACAAGAGGCCCAAAAAAAAAAAAAAAAAAACATCATATGACTCTCAGGTTGAGATACTTAACAGACAAGCAGAGATAGAAAAATAGATACCAGAAGAGAACGAGAGAGAGAGATAGACACCTGTGCGTGGAGTTCATGCATAAATCATGCCAATGGAATGTGATTTATGTGAAATCTATTAGCAAATATTAAGTCAATAGCAACAATTGCTGGTCAGACCGAACGTCGGCGCGCTGACATCGGCAACTTCCAAACAAGTGTTCCATGTCCACTCCGAAACGGTTTCAGCCACGGTTTATAAATAAAAGATTTCCACTGAAGCCACTGCCCCACATTTGGCCGAAGGGGGAAAGCAATTTTCCAGCAATCGCTTTACGAGTTGGCGGGTTCCGTTCCGATCCGATCCGATCGAGCAAGAGCCTAGAAGGGTGGCAAGCGCTAATGCCAAATTACCACACTAAATGCCGCTTTAAGGTGAGCGCAGCACCTACCCCCCATCCCACCCCGGCTGTCTGTTCGGGCCAAGACAAGTCCGATGGCCGGATTTGGTGATCGGGTGGCGTGCGCTCCAAATGAGTGCAAAATGTTTCGGATTTTGGATGACGGGCCTAATTAACCAGTCGGGGGCAGCGTTCGTTTGGGTTTGGTTTCCCAATGAATCGCATTCAAAGAATTCTTCCACGCGGCGTATGCGTTATTTTTCATCAATTCAATTAATTACCACCGGTTGCTTCTAGGTGACGGTGCCCCTGGCTGCCGCATTTGACTTGCAAATGCCACAAGAAACGTAACAGCGAACAAAGTCTGGACTCGGTTAGAAGCATCGAATACCCTTGCGTACGATGCCAGGCATCCATACGATGCCATTGCATAGATCCCGTAGCTGCGTATCGCTCCACAAACTTCGGCTAAAAACTTTAGTACTCCTTGTGAGGGTATCCCAAAGAAATGAAAAAACAACATTGCAAAATGGACAAACGCTGCTTAATTAAATCAGAAACAAACGGCAAAATCAACGACCCAAAGGAGCTGGCAGAGCAGCACACAAAAAATGCGTGGCATTTATGACGCTTTGCCTGAATTAATGAATGAATCAGCGTGTACATGGAAATGGAAATGAAAATGGATGTGGATGTGGAGCTGACAAAGTTAGAGCCCCGAGCCTGACGTGTCCACACGTTGGTGTTGCCACAGAGCCGAGCCGGGGGAATTTGGTGCTGAACACCGTTTTGCATTTGGCAATCCCAAATGGAAGGCGACCCAATGACAGTTTCCAATCATGAATTGGTCTGGTCTTGTGGTGTCGTTTCTCGCGCCGATGTCGTTGACAGACCAGGAGTCGGTCGATGAGTGGCTTGTTTATGGGATGACGATGACTATGACTGCATTCAGACGGTCGATTGGGAAACGGTTATTGCCTTGATAATGGAAAACTGGATGCGGCTGTGGATTGGACGGGATTCGCCCCGTGTGCTGGAGGAGCTGGCAAGTTGGCAACTCTGGGTGTGTAGGTGCTTGCATAAGATTGTACAGTTAGATAACGTCTTATGGTTACGGTATTCCATCATCCAATCTAGTTCTCGCAACTTTAAGTTTTTCATTCATTTTGAATTTCAACGGTTTCTACTTGAACTGCTTGAATCGAAGCTTTAAGCACAAAACACTGCTTGCGACCAATTGCTCTTCGCCATGTAAAAACAATAGATGGCGCGTTTAAAACTTTGTCATGTAAAATTGAAAAACTTTTAATTAAATATATTTAAAATGTAACAATAAAATAAAAACTGTAATTTTGTAAAAATTCCAGCAAAATTTAAAAAATGCCACCATGCGAATTCTTACATGCATAGACTTATTGTTAAAGCTCCTAGTTTAAGTTTATAACTCATATATCGATTCCCCTTCTCTGGATTTCGACACAAGTCACCCCATAATCAATATTGCGAACTTAAATATAGATCAAAGTCACTGGAGCCAACCGTGTATAAGCAATGCACACGGACACGGAGATGGAGGCGGAGAGCCACGGGCCATCTCTTTTGGGGATGTCAACGATTTAATGGGGGTCCCCTTTATCCTAGAGCACGGGCACGGGAACTGTGACGGGCACTACCCCACGCAGGCAACAGGTGACGGATGGCTGACTGAGTGAATTGTTCCATTGGTGGGTGGGTTGTCCGCCCACTGACCTTAAAATCTAATATTAAGCACAAGGCCCCCTCGCTGGACAATCATTGATAGAGCGATTGACTTGTGTAAGACCTTTAAGTGAAATTCAATCAAATCTTGGTACAATAAAGTAAAGAGTTCTTACATAAAGTGCCTCTGTATGGGTGTGTATCTGGTGTGTGTGCGTTTTCTCAAGTGCAGTTTGAAATTCAAGTTGCCTAATAACTTAAAACCCCAAGCAGCTTTAATGGCCATAATTCGTCTCCAATGCTGCACGGCACGGACGCGGACGCAGACGCAGACGGAGACGTCGAAGCTGGCAGAAAGAAAACAGAAGAAGAACCCGAGACCCGAAGACCGAACACCAATGCCCAAAGCCCAAAGCCAGAGTCAAAGCCAAAAGGAGTGTCCCGATCTCATTGTTGTTGTTGTTGTTGTTGTGCAGTACTATTGACATTATTGATGGAAATTCTTTTGTGTTTTACGAAAAGAGAATGAAGACAGTGGAGCTGAAGTACGGTTCGTCGAAGGGGAAATGCCCTTAAATTTGAATAAAAAAGTTTCCATATATTCTCAAAATTTCCCCAACAGTTTTCCGAGGGGAGACACTTGTACTCTATTTCAGCTCTGGGCATAGGCTCTCAGTTGGAAAGGGTATCTATGCAAGAAGCAGCAACTCGCGCTGTTTACTCTTTCTTAGCAGCAAATGAAAGCCCAACGGCGGCTGACGCTGCCCGCTTACGGGTATGTGGACAGGTGCATGTGCGTGTGCATGCCATGGCCCAAAACTGTACTTGTGTGTGCCCCCCTCCCTATCCGAGTGTGAGTGTGTGTGTTTGCCTCCGTTTTCATTTGCCGTCCGTCTGTTTCTGAATGCAGCCCAAGACCCACAGCCGCAGCCACAGCCCAGACCCTAGACCCCAGGCAAGGCCCATAGCCAGACCCACAGACAGACCAAACAGCCAGACCGATGACCAAGTCCCAAGTGCGTGGCCCAGCCAGTGGCCCAAACAGTTATGCAAATCGTGGAGAGAGACAGGCGCACTGTCTCTGAAGGAGAGCTTTATTTTTGTGTATTTAGCGCCTAATACCCAAGTTTATGTCGCTTAATTATAGACCTTAAGCAGCCGCCACGAACCGACCAAACCGACCGAACCGTTTGTTTAACATGCTAATCGCCACTCCTACAGCTGCGCCTCTCCAGTCCCTCTACCGTCCCATCCATCCTTTCTTCTCTGTATCAAATGACCCGCTCTAAGACGCCACTCGAGGCCCTAATCAGGCAGGCTTGGAAATTCTAGTAGCTTGGGAGCGGAAATCCGTGAACAGCGATGCGAATTCGATCGCACCTATAACAGCTGTTAAGCTGATTTGACCAATTCCGAATCAAACAGCGATCTGCTTTTAATATTGTTTAAATAACTTTTGAGCCGCGGCGATTAATTTGCCATAAAAGCTGGGGCTTTGATTAGTTGGCCAATTTGGTGTGCGGGCGGTGTGGGACGTCAGCCATGGAAAGTGTTTTGCCCACAGAAGCAAATACGTACGTAAATGGAATACATTCCGAAGAAACTAGCTAAGGAGATATAAAAGTCGGAAAAAAGACAAGAGCTTGCACGGATTGAAAATCCATTGGTTGCTATGGTTCTTATAGGTCCAGGTGTTCTTCTACTCTGTAAGGAGAAGCTACAGAACGTCCTTGAACTCTGTCCGAGGGCCGGGTGTAACATGAAACTTACATAGCTGCCGGCGAGAGATAACATTTAACACATTTCTAGGTGAACTTTGCCATTTTGCACAAATTTAAATGACACAAATTCTGCATAAATGTCCACTCGAAGGACAATGCTTACCTGCTTTCGGAGGCGTGGGCGTGGATGTGGATGTGGTTGTGGGCATCCTTTCAACTGTGACCTTTTCGCATGCAAATTGAATGGAAAGCAGCGCTAACAGGGTTAATCAGACCACTCTGCGCTCACAGCGAGAGAGATTATTAAGTGCATTTATAATTTATGAAATTTCCAGCGTTCATATTACATTATGTGCTCACTCCCTACAAGGGTCGACAGGGGTAAGTACCCTGTAAAGGTTACAGTCACCGTTCTATACTTTGTAGTGTCATTATATTTGTCATATATTTCATACATATACATATGTATATATATAGCATATTCTTAATGGTTTTTTGTCAGTCTGGATAGAGTTACGATAGTCTGTAAGTATTATTATTATTTTTATTGAAATTTTCGAATCTGTAAATAAAATCCCTTGGATAAATGTCTAGGGTATTTATTTAGCGACGTTGAAATCCCCTCGAGACAGCAAACTTGTTGCTCTCAGGTGAAATTCTCTCTTCTGACTCCACGTCAAGCCAATTGGTTCGCCACGACGTCACATCAAACATGTTCGAAGCGGTCTCCACTTGTGGGCTGCACATCCGCAGCTCCAACGAGCTCCAACAGCGATTACGGTTTCCAATCCAACAAATATTGTCGAGCGAGTCGGTTGTGTTGGAGCCCGTGCTCCCCATTTGAACGTACATATTAGCTGCTTGTGTCCCCGCACCCCCCACTCGCGTCTTTTGTGTGTGTAGTGTGGAGTCCATAGGCGCTGCTCCACCTCGTGTAAGTCGGTGTTTGTGTGTGCTTATTAGTGTTTTGTGTTTTGTGTGTTGCCTGCATTTCAACAAGTGTTTCAGGAGTGCGAAACGACACAAAAAGTCAAGCGCAAGGCCTTATCAGAATTTAGAAATATAGAAATTATATACATGCACATAACGACGAATGATGAATATAAAAAAATTCCAGTGAATAGTGAAATATTTCTGCTACATTTGCGGTAAAATATTTCCACTGGATTAAATTGTTAATTCGGTTACAGCAAATACATATGCATAAACAAAGAGTGTGTGTGTGGTGTGGTGTGTGTGTGTGGAAATGCAGAGACAAATATGATCGGAGCCAAGCTTTTGATTTGACTGTAACTGTAATTCGAATGAGTGCAGACTTGAGTGGAGTTTGATTGATTTGAGCAGGAAATCCGAAACGAAATGAAACGGTTAGCCAAGTTCACCAAGAAATGAAACACAAAACGCCCTAATGTCAAGGTCTGCTCTCTGCTCGAGCCCATGGCAGAGTTGTGTGCATGTTGTGTGTCTTAATGGACTTGACCCCCATTTCTGGTGGGGGAGCTGGGACTGGGGCTGGAACTCACTTACCGAAACCCGACTCTGATTGCGTAAACCTATTAACTCGGCTCAATTTGGAGTTGCAACACTTGCCTGAAGACACCCATTCCCCAGACCACACTCCACTGTTTTAAGTTTACTCCTCTGAAGAGAGATTTTCACTCAAGAGAACTTTACTTGTTCACCGGAAAATCTTTCCTTCCCCCTATCATTTCAATCCGTTCTTGTCCGCAATCAATCCGCAAGTTTCATCGCAAATCTGTCATTCATTTCTAGCACAAAACATAAAAACAACCAAACGAAAAATTAACAAAAAACAAAAAAAGCAAAAGACTATAAAACAAAGTGTTGAAAAGATTTAGCAACTGCGAAAACGACTTACGAATTTTCACAACAACTTGATGTTTGTAACGGATTTTCCACCAACTTGAAAAAAAAACTGAATACTAGTGGATTCTTTTACTTCTGCTTCTGCTTCGGCGTCTGTTTCCACCTATCCACGGATCCACGGATCCACCGAACCGCAAGTTATTTTAGCTGGTTTCTTTTTTTGGATTCGTGCCACTTGAGGTGAGTCGTGTTAATTATTGCTAAATTACTAAAATTAGCTAATCCAAGCCTTTAAATATGAGCAAATTGCCCAGGAAGTCCTATTCTCTGGGGCATGATTCATAAGCTATTTGCAGAGGAGATCAGAGCCCTCAAGTGAATCACAGCCTCAGATGTCCCACATTTCGGGGAGGGAGATATATATAGAAAGAGCTCCTCTAGTGGGCATTGCATCTGTCAGCTGTCCATCCAATGCTACAAATCGAAGTCGAGAGCCGAACCGGGTTGAACAAACTCAAATCGAAAGCGAGAGGCACATGAACTTCCACTATCCGTCCGCACAGATCTCGAATGTCGTTAAAATCGCACAAGGTTACAGCCAGTGTCCGACCGAATGGCCGAAACATTTCATTTTCACTACGATCCAACAGTCTAGACTCTAGACTCTAGACTCTAGATTGGTAGACTGGTAGAGTGGTGGAGTGTATTGTGTGCACCTGTTGCGGTCAGCAGTACTCGATTTCACTGTCAAAACTGTGACTGAAATTCGTAACTTCGAATTCGAATAGGAATTCGATTCGGGAAAATGGCTTGTGGCCCAAAGTGTTCCTTCTTCTGCCTGTTCATCAGTGCGTGGGGTGTGATTCAGCTGACGCTCATGGGGATATTCTTCTTAATGCATTCGCTGGCGCTGGTCGATGATCTGCACTTGAATATCATTTCCCATAGTCTGGAGCAATTCCAAAGCGATGCCGATATGGCTTATATGTCTGTGGCCATCCGCTGCTTTGCCACCGCTCTCCTTTACCTTTGCTTCGGGATCCTCTCGATTTACTGCATTTTCCGGAACAAGGCCAAGGAGCGGAGTGCCTTGAAGGCGTCTCTCAAGCGTTGAATAAATTATATTTTATATTGTTTCTTTACATGTAATTGGCCATCTGGCAGTGCACCCACCCACCTACTCACCCACTCACCCACACTCTCCCACTGAGTGGGAGTCCAGCCACAGTCACCGCCAGCCACCAGCACCAGCACCACCCACTTGTTAAACCAGAATCAAAACAAGTTTGTTGACCGCATTCTGTCTGTGTGTGTGTTTTTCTTGTGATAAGCTCTGACTTCTTTATCCACGAACTACTTTTTCTTTACGAGCATTATGCATTCGTCTCGACTAACCGATTTTTGACAAGTTCAGTTCGTTGTTGCTGGCACCGCACGTGACACCTTTTTCTCGCTTGCGGGGCTCGTTCTGTTCTCTTTGGGCATCATAAATTTCCATGAAATGCTCTCTGCCTACCTCTGCCACATGCTAATGCGGTGTGGGTTCTGCTGTCCCCATCATCATCATCATCATGGCCCCACTTTTCCGTTTTTGTGCTTATCTTTTGGAGCTTTTGTGTTCGTACATGAAAACCGTTGTGTAAATTATTGTACACGATTTTCTAGTTGTTGTTCAGGCTCAGACCTGCATCCATCTGTCGTGTTATCACTCACCTCGCCCAGCCACCGATGCCAACCAACTCTGACCGACTGACTCCAGAGATCTTTTTAGGGGGAACTTCTTGGGAGCAACAGTTACCCAGAAGTGGTTCTTGCTTTAGTTTTCCATGACTCTTTCCATGAAATATATGACTTACAGATCGAGTAGTCGTTCATCTACCCATCTGATCGCTGCAGGTATAATCATACTCAAAATCAGATCTAGCATAAACCGAAAATAAAAAAAAATTCATTCGTAAAAAATCGTTCTTGCTCACTGGACTAAAAGTAAAACTATACTTTGTTTTTTTGTTTTGTTTTAAAAACGGTTAATTCTTGTTTGTCAATTGGCGGAGCTGCAACACTGTGTACATCTAGGGTTGGGCAACGGCAAAGTGTTGGGCAACCCTTGCCGTTCTGGTGCAGTGCTGGGCAACCGTTACGAGGATGAAAGCGAGAATGTAGTAGTCCGTGAGTCAGACATCGATTTGGTGCCTTTCATTCGGTGCACAAATTATATTTTTGGCAGTCACACATTTTGCTGAAAACCAAAAAAAAAAAAGGCTAACGTAAGAAAAGAAGAAGGGATGTCCCGACAATTGATGGCCACCACGGCCACCCGGTTCCACAGAGGAAGTAAGTGAATCCCACACCCTTTAAATCCATCCCCAATCCTGCCCTTAATCCCTATGCCTATCCAGTGCCCGGCAGCGGAAAGCTGTGGTTCAACACAACCCGGTTTCTGTACACCGGTAAGCACACGCTATCCAAGGGGCCGCCACCGCCGAAGGGGCCACCACCAAAGGCGAGCAAGCCGAGCAAGCCGAGCACGGCTCCCAAGTGCAAGCCGGTTCCTCCTCCGAAGCCGAAGCCGGGATACTTCCCCAGCGGCGGGATGCACGCCGTCTTCAGCGATTTGCCGATGCCCCAGGGCGACTTTATGCAGGCGTGGTCCGCGAAGAACTCCAAGTATAACATGTTCATGCTCAGCGGACTGTTGGCATTGGTCGGGAGCATATACCTGTCGTACATGACGCTGGAAATGTATGCCAGCGTGCCCGATTATCCCTACACCGAGGAGGAGAAGGAGGAGTTTGAGATCGAGGCGGAGCGCCGCCAGGAGGAGAAGGAGGCGCGCGAGCAGCGTCACCAGGACGCAGTGGAGGCCGCCGAGATCGCTCGTCGCGCTCGCTTGGCCAAGGAGGCCATGGTCCGCGAGTCGGAGCTGATGAACAAGGACATGGAGGGCGGTCTTGACGCTAAGGAAGCTGCGGAGCTGCAGAAGCTAGCCACCGAGCGCGAAGAGTATGCGGAGTGGGAGAAGGAAGAGGCGAAGCGCCGCGAGGAGAAGGCCAAGGAGCGCAAAGAGGTCGAGAAGGAGAAGGCCAAGGTTAAGGCCGAGCGCGACAAGGAGCGCGAGAAGAAGCGCAAGGAGCGGGAGAAGGTGCAGGAGAAGGAGGAGGCAGAGCGCGAGAAGGCTCGCGAAAAGGCACGCAAGGAGCGCGAGAAGTCCCGCAAGGAGGAGGAGAAACTGAAGGCGAAGGAGAAGGCCGAGAAAGAGAAGGCCAAGAAGGCCCTCACGGCCTAATCTTTATCCCATCCGCACACCCAAAAACCCCCCCACACATCCCAAACACTTTCCACTTATATATTTTGTTAGTTGTTCCCCCGAATCACACGAGAACCAGCCATCAAAATGTTGCTGTTGCTGTTGTTGTTGGCACTGCAATCCAGACACTGAAAACAGATCTCAGACACCAATCACAGAAAGTACACCCCACTCCCTACACCCAGATATTGCCATACACATGCGACATTCGATTCACTCGACACACTCGAAACCAAAAGAAATACCAACATCACGCACTTTTCAAATGAATTTGAGCAAATGTTCAATTAAATTAACAGATTTCTGTTGCTGTTGGTCAAATGTAAAGCTGAAAAATGGGTTAAGTGGGGGGGTGGGAACTATTCCAAGCATACGATCTATATGGATGGATGTGCCAGTCTTTCGTTTACCTCTCCTCCCAGGAAAATCTAATTATGAGTCACAGCTGCATGGCAGCCCGTACACCACAGACACAGATATCTGCCACATTATAAACGAATCATCAAGCCACATGCATCCCCACAAATGTGTGTGATCGCTCTCTGTTCTTATGAGTTCTGATTTCTGACCCAAATGAGGTGCAACAGCCACCACATGCACCACCAGAGTGTGGGGTGCTCCATCAGTGGTGCTCCGTTCTGTGGCTCTGTTCGAAGCATGCATTAGAGCGAGCCATAGAGGAAATGGCTCATTGCATATAATCAAATCAAGAGCGGTGCGCAGTGCGAACCAAATTGTATCTCATAGATAACGAGCCGCGCGAATGCATAGATACTCACTCGCACAGAACAGAAGAGAACCACTCCACCGCCCCTTCCGCTCGCCAATCACAGTACGAATTCAATTGAAGCCTCAATTACGCATCAATCTGCCCTGCCTGCCCACTATGCCCACAAACAATCCTCGGCCACTGTCCGCAAAGGAGTTTGCCTGGACAAGGGGCACTTGTTGTCTGCTTTGCAATAAAATAATGTTCTTTCTTTGCCTCGATTTGGGGGAGATTTCTATTTAATGAAAACTGCCTACTGCCACTTGGCGATAGATAGTTTTACCAGATTGCAGATTGCTTGGCCCTCTGCCCGCGCCCTGCTACATATGTATCTGTATCTGTATTTGACTGTGTCTGTGTATCTGTTTCTGTTTCTGTTGCGCTAAGTGTGCTGGCTTGTGCGCACATAATGAATCACAATCGTCGTCAGTTAAGCTCGGCTTATCATTAATCAAATTAGCTGCAGCCAAAGAGCTGAGCTGCAAGAAAGCAACAAAGCACTTGCCTGTCTGCCACCGGCACTGCCACTGCAACCGACTGACTGCTGGCTGCAGCTCTCCAGCAAAGCGGCACAGTGGGTCGGATTGGATCCGATTATATCGGATCGGATGGGGCTAGGCTGCTATGCTGCGGATAATTAACTATTCCATTCCATTCCATTGATGTTGAGTGTTTGCCATAAATGAGCAATTTGCGGAGCTCATCAAATGGAGCGGAGCAATCAATTAGCTTGGGCAAAGCGAAACAAATATTCCCTGATTTGTTAGAAATAAACTCCAAATGATGATGGGATATACCTTGATTCACGGCATACCTGGTATCCTTGGGAGATTATTAGCTCCATATTTGATTATTTGTAGGAGTTCTTGCACATCTTCCACTGTGCCATGCCCACACACACTCGTAGAGGAAGAAAGCCCGCTGAAGCTAGCTAATTTATCATTGGCATTCTCTATGCCACATATGCATATCCATTTCCCTATGCACACCCTGCCCCATGCTCCATGCCCCATTCCCCATTCCCTATTCCCCTGACAGTGCGAGTGACATTATTACTGTCACACTGTGTCGCCCGATATGCTGCTCCTCTGCCTTTTATAATGCATTTATGCTGCAATTTGTTTGAATTAGCGGCTCGTGGAGGCTCCCTGGCTATAGATCGTGGAATGGAGCGGTGCGTGGTGCGACGGAGGTGCAGCGAAAGAGGTGGAGTGTCACCGGTTTAGTGGTTTATTTGGGGCGTGTATCTACGTATCTCTCTCTATGCCTGCTGCAGCCCAAGCCCCGTGCCAGGTTTTGTGTCTTATGCAAGCAGCAGCAGCAGCAGCCCCAGAGAGAAGGAGAAAGAGATCGCTCTAAAGTAAAAGTAGCTGCATTTACCCCGTAGTTGCAACACCGCAACATCATGAATGCTTCCGGGCGTGGGGCGTGTACCCACTGGAATGGGAATGAAAATGGGAATGGAAATGGGCTGCCACATTATGGAATGGCGATGGAGAGATGGCAGAGAGAAATCCAAAGATTAGAGATCTACAGATAACCCTCTAAATTACACAGATCCTCAGCAGAATCTTCAGCCCCCGCCTTACGTTCGGTTCGCTCTGTTTTATCTAAGCAAATATAAGTTTAACAACGACTACAAAGTCTTTACAACGTGTCTTGATCGCCTCTTATCTGCATGTAAATATTTGCATCGGTGGCAGCCACAGCAACAACGAGCTGTTGCTCGAAAGCGTTTGCTTCTGATAAGGTTCTGGGGGGTGGGTCGACAAGATGCAGTCATCACAATGGATAACTAGAATTAGCTGGGACTCCTCTCAATCGTTTTGCTGCATCCACATTCCGGATTGAGCGATATAGAGAGAAGCAATGAATACTGCACTCTACAGATGCTCCCTGGCAATCTCATCATCAGAGTATGCAACCATGCAACATGCTTGTCATTGCCATTCCCCTACTAAATGATGATTCTCCTACAAGGAATTTCTCGGTTCATTGACTCTGAAGACTGGAGAATTATGAAACTTTCCCCTCTGCTGCGCGTGTTTTGATGAACTCTCACTTGGCGAGCGATTAAGGGAGCGCTGGGGGCAGCCATGGGCCATGGTTTGCTGCTGTTTAATAGACCAACAAAAGAAATGTACGCTAATTAAACAAATTGGCCAGCAGACTATTTGGCCATTTACCTTTGGGGGTCCGGTGCGGTGCGGTCCGGTCCGTCGTCCGTCGTTCGTCTTCTTCTATCTCTCTCTCTCTCTCTCTGTTTGTTGAACAAATCGAATGGAATCGAATGCAAAGACTGAGAGAGAGAAAGAGAACGCTGAGAGCGTGCCAAGCGGCGTTTTGTATCTGGATTGAGGTCTTGCCACAGTTAGCCAAGCAAAGCGCAGTTATAACCATTTCAGAATAACAGTGGGTCAATTCTCCACACACCACACTGAGGCACTGCGGCTCTACGGCTCTACGGCTCTGCCCCAATCAATTTGCGAGACTAGTTCTAGGCCTTCCTTCTCCACCTTCTCTTTGCCACTCGATTCGATTCGATTTTGTCTGTGCAACTCACGTACCCCACACTCATTTCTCTATAGAGAACTCTATAGATAGATTCTCATATATCGTACGTGTATGCGTAATCATTGTAATGAGCCATTTCTCTAGTTTGGGATACTTTCTTTGGAGAAGCAGCACAATTTTTAATTAATTTTTCCATTGACGAACTTGGGGTGCCTCCTCCTCCGCCTACTGTGTACCCGTCAGAGAGACAGAGAGAGCGATCGAGGGAGAGAGAGCATTTAATATTAATTCTTATTTCGTTTGGCGCTCAGTTTGGGTCCGGACCCGGGGCCCGCCTCTTGTGTGTGGCCCAATGGCCCGTTAAAGGAGGCCTCTGCCTTTGGCCCTGGCTCTGGTTTCGGCTGCATTCTGGACTCTGCATTCCAGACTGCGTTTGTTGTGTGGCCATCATCGAATTTCGTACTGAAACGCGAGACAGTGTAGCCAGAACTGTGGAGCATTTGTCTGTGGAAGACAATCGGGAAAGGTTTTTGATTGCTTTCGGGGAGAGTAACGAATATGGTGGGAAATACTCGTAAATGGCTTAAGTATTCTCATATCTTTCATTCAATTTCATACACTTTGTCCCACTGTGCGTGGCCTTAGCCTTACCTTGGCTATAAATTAAATTATTTTTCACATACCGTAGTGCCCCACTGTATTTGGATGTTTCGTATGGGTACCTCCTGTATATTGTGTGCCCAGATATCGTTACACTAAATTGTTATGTCGGGCTTCTCCTCCCTGCTCTGGCCCGGAGATCACCATCATAATATCATCAGTATCCCTATGGGAGTGGAGTGGTGTAAAGTGGAGAGGGAGTACAGAGGGGGGCGTAAGCGATTTGTCTTTTGGCTAAACGTCAAAGTACCGCTATGGCCACCGCCTTCGATCCTTCTTTTACGAGAATTTCATCCTGGCTGCCAGAGCATCCGCTGTCTTGGCTTTTGCGGAATCTCATCTCGTAATAAAGTAATTAAAGCCACGACACTGTCCAATATTTCATCTCTTTTCTTGTGGCTGGAGATTAATCGAGTCGGGTTGCAGGGCATGCGGCATGCGGCGATCACTTACGATCACTTTCAGCCCTGATTTGCATTTAATTGGAGCTCTCTGTGGAGTCGAGTGGAGCGGAAAGCCATCCCAAGTCTATAATCATAATTGCATTCATATCAATTTTCACTCAATTTCGTTTGCAGCCACAAAATGCAGCAAAAGGAGACGCGACGAGACGAGACACAGCCAAAGCTTTTAAATGTGTAATTTGTTATTGCTTCTCATGTGTTTCTCCGAGTGTGCTTCTTCATCTTCATCTTTATCTCGCGTGATACCCTCTCTTTCTTTTCGCTCTCTTAGTTTGCTTTGAAGTTTGCAACGCTCAACAGATAATGCAAATCCGATCTACAGGCATGAACAGCCTTGCCCGGAGACCCCTTTTAGCTGGATCTGCTCACTCTCTGTCCGATTTTCACACTTAATGTTGCTTGGAATAATTCATTTGTACCTATATATCCATCTTCAAGGGTATTTTGTAGTCGGTCTTTGGCTTTTAGTCTCTCTTTGTTTTATTTTGTTTTTGTTTTGGTTTTGTTTGTTAACTGTAAAACGTTTTACTTTCGCGCGTGTTTTAATTGCCGCCTGCTGCTTCTGCCGCCACTCATGTGATGATGATGATCAGCTCCCGCTCCAACTGAAGTCCACTGCAATGGACGTTTGGCAATAGAGAGATGATGGAGGCATTTGCCGGCAACCACGTTAATGTGTTGGCCATAAAAAGCGTGTGAATCTCGCTTAAAGCGAACGAACAGCAATTGCAAACGTGTCGAACGACGACAATGGGCGCAGACAACTGGCGACACTTTTCCTTGGCCTTCGCTTTTCCTCACTACAGTGCCATGCTACGAGTGTGCGACGGGACAGGGCGTTTTACTGGCGTTTGCTTACCGTTTCATTAGCGTTGTGCCCCGCTGGACAGAGGTGAAGGCGTTTTCTTCTGCTC